TTTTTGTGAAACTGCATCATTAGCTCTGAAGACTAAAACAGTAGCAGCACAGCCAGGGGAGAAACTGAGGTTGGCTGAGGGGCGGCAAAGTGACTTTAGCATTTAGCGTTGAACGGAAAGCAGCATCCCAGGTGCTGAGGATGGGAATCCCCGAGCGTGGGGGCATATGTCATGGTCACGTCTCAGTTATTGAGGGTGAAAAGGCTGCGTGTGTGTCATGCGTCCATGCTGTATCTATATGGTGTGTATTACACGCGTCTGTACATATATGTATTCATAGACTAGATATACACACGTGTGTGTGCTCACACACATTTAGTGTCTGTGCTGAAACGTGTCATCCCCTGCCTGAGGAAGCCTGCTCACCCTCAGCCGCCAGGATGCAATGGAGACTCTGGGAGGACGTGGGGTCAGGTCCTAGTGACAAGCCTGGGGCTTGGGGCCAGGACTGCTTCTCCTCTGAATCATGTGGGTTAATGTAGGGAGCATGTGTCATCTCCAAGTGTGGGAGAAAGAGAATCCTGGCCACCACGTTGTTGAACACGGCTCCTCGCTGACCCTCTGCCGATGATGATGTTGCCCCTGCGTGTGATTGTGGGACATCACTCCTGCAGCAGGTGGCCTGGGTCCCCCTCCTGTCCCCCTTCACACCGACACACTGTGGGCCGGCCATGGATTGGATTCCTGGCAGATATGTCATTGGTGGACACTCCTGTCCCCAGTGTGTCATCAGTCATCCTTACCACAAGCATCCATGTGGGGTGGGGTGGGGGGGGCTGGGGAACCCCTCCAGGGTCAGGGTACTTTTGGGTAGATGAGTACCAACAAATAAGTCTCCACAGGCCAGCGTAAGCAGGGTGTGAAATACATTTTGTGTCTTCTTTATCTTGATTCAAATTTTAAATTGATTTCAGAGAGGAAGGGAGTGAGAGAAATAGAAACATCAATGATGAGAGAGTATCATTGATCGGCTGCCTCCTGCACACCCCCTACTGGGATCGAGCCCGCAATCTGGGCATGTTCCCTTGACCGGAATCAAACCTGGGACCCTTCAGTCCACAGGCTGATGCTCTAGCCACTGATCCAAACCAGCTGGGACCATTTTGTGTCTTCTTAAGATGAGCAGAGCTGTGAGAGGCTGGGACAGGGATGAGAAGAAGCCAGAGAGCGACCTCATACAGGGTGTAAGTTACCACTCTCATGTGAGGAGTCGCATATGTTTATTTTAGGAGGCCCTTTGATCCCAAATGACTGGGTTTCTACATGCAAATTCCAAATTTGGTTATTACAAAGGCTGATTAAATCGTCCTAACCCAGAAGTACCGACGGGCAAAACCCAGGAACGCCCCTGCCGGATCCCGAAGCTCTGTTTCAAGTTTGAAAAGAAAGAAACAAGAACCATCTGCAGCTCGTTGGGAAGCCTGTTTGCAGGGCCCCCTGCCCGCGAACGCTCGGTTTCATCATCCCTAATCTTTCGCTTTAAAATCAGGAGTTCAGAATAGCAGCCACACAGCCCCCCGAGCGGGACCCCGCGCGGGCCCCAGCCGCACATGTGTCGGAATTATTAAGCCCATAAAACTACATTGTCACATCTGAAACTGGTTAGCCGTTGAAACCGAGACTTCCACTTCAAAGCCGCCGTGGTGTTTCCAGACAGACGCTGGCGGATCACCTTGAAGTCAAATTCCATCCACTGGCAACCAGCAGAAAGCCGTGCTGCCCCCTCGCCGAGCCTTCCTCACAAAAGGCGAGCTCTGAGCGTGGCCCCCTCCCGAGCCCCTCGGGGGCGGCTGGGCTCCCGCTCTGCCCTCGGCCTGCTGGCGGCAGGAACCCTGCCTGCACGCCTGGCCCTGGCGAGGGGGTGCTTTTACGTAAACAGCCGTGGAAGCAGCTGCTCTCCTCCACCTTCCAGATAACCCTGGGACCTGGAGTGTAGGCCCCACAATCCCAAACGTTCACCCAGTACGGAAGGCCATCCCGTCCTGAGGGACCCACCTCGTCGCCATCAGCGAGGGGGCATCCAGTGACTGTCCTCTTAGGAACAGTGAATTCTGGGAAAATGCTGCCAACAGGCCTGCTCAGTGTGCCTCCTCCCGTCACCCCTCTCTGCCTCCATCTTTCTCTCTGTCCCCCACCCCCCGACCCTCACACACACCACTGCCACCACCTCTTTCTCACCTGCTTGGACTCTAGTCTGCACAAAGCCCCCTCCTGCATCCCCACTGCACCCGGGGAGGAGACTCGCCCAGACTTTGGAATGCGCCAGAACCCTGAGGAGTAGCCCTGACCTCAGGTTCAGGAGGGCAGTGCTTCCAGACGCTCAGATGTGCGGGGGTTTTCTGTCGTGGGCCATCCGGGGCTGTGAGCTGCACCAAGTGGGTCACCAGAGCCTGTTTTAATGGAAAAGAACAGCTCCAGAGCAACTCCTGTGTGTGTATGAAGGAGAGGGGCAGGGGTTGCCCAGGTGCCAGCCCCACTCTCCTGCCAGTCATGCTGGATTCTCATCACCGATATCCCGGACCCTTTCACAGAAGGGGGACCTGCCCCCGGGACTCCGCACACAGCTGGCTTTCTGGACAGAGCAAACATTCGCCCCTGGGGAACACCACGTTCTCAGGAATGCAAGCCAGAGAGGCCTCTGGAGTCTGCAAGGAATCTAACTTGGAGAAGCAAACGCATTTCCTTCGGCGATGTGTGCATCCCACTGCTCGCTCAGCTCAGGGACTGTGTGTTCCCGGCCCCCAGCCTTGGTACAGGCCTGTTTAGGTCAGAAGCTCCGGTGTCAGAGCTGTGGCGTTACCTCCTTTGTCCTCCTAGCACACCTCTCTATTGGCAGGTCCCACAGTAGGGGGCTGTGGACGCGCCTGGCACACGTGGGCACCTGGAGAGCCCCACTCCCTCCTCGGAATCCCTTCCTTGCTTCATGGAAAGGAAACGGAGGCCCAAGTGATTAGGCGGCGGATTCAGGATTTTTGGCCTGTAGCAACAGGGCGGAGACCAGGCGCAGCTTCGGGGCTGAACACTGGCCCCAGAGACCCTGTCCTCCTGGGGACCTGCAGCTGGGACCGGATGTGGAAGAGGGTCTCTGCCAATGTGACCTTCCTCCTGGTGTGGCACCTGTATCTTTGTAAAAGGGAGGCAGTGGGAGGTTCCACACAGAAGACACACAGAGAGGCATGTGACCGTGGAGAAGTCGGAGAGATGCGTCCACCAGCCCAGGAACACCTGGGGTCACAGGAGCTGGAAGAGACAGGAAGGATCCCATCCTCCCCTGTCCCCCCAGCCTCCTGAGAGCCCAGCATGGTGAAAGGGATAAGGATCAGCCCCACAGCCAAGGTCACAGCCATCCAACATGGACATGCAGAAGAAGGACCTGGGGTTCCTAAAGCATTGGGGTGTGTGGGGCTGAGATCCTGTTCCCAGTGGCCAGCAGATGCTGGAGAACAAATGGACAGGGTGCCAGGGCCGCTGGGGGAGGGAGAGGATGGCAAGGGGGGGGGGCAGAAGCAGGGAGGAGAGGATGCCTGAGAGGATCAGCAGGTCAGCAGTGCTGGGTGGGCGGTGCCGCAGAGGCCCTGCTGGCTTGGTAAGGGAGCCCAGCGATGGGGTTCTGGGGTGGGGGGTGGGGGGTGCAGAAACAGAGCTCTGTCAGCCAGGGAGCAGTGAGGATGGTGCTGAGGGCCTCTATGGAAACCCAGCCAGGCAGAAGGGGGTCAGATTGGGACGAGAGGGGAGTTAGGGATTTTTATGGGCATGAGGCTGGGACTCTTTTGGGGGTGGCAAAGGGAGTGAGAGCAGAAATTGATGCTTTATAAGGGGGGGAGCTCAGATCCAGGAAGGCGGGTGGGGGCATCCCAGGAACCATAGGGCTGGCCCCGTCCTGGGCAGGGTAATGTGGGAGGTGGGCACTTGCTGGACTTTAGGAAACGGGGTATCTGCCTGTGCTCCTGACTCACTGAGGGTCCCAATTATCTGGAAGTCAGCTGCCAACAAGGTCACCCCAGTGGGGAGAGACTGCACATGTGGCCAGCATCCCTGTGGTAGGTTTACCCTTTGCAATTAAAGCATTGGCCCTTCTGTTGAGCCAGAGCAGCACAGATTAAAAACCAGGATGAATTTGAAACCGCCAGAAGGACAAGAATTGTTACTTTCCTCCCAGATGTTTTTTTATCCCCTTATTTGAACCTCTCTATCTCAGAGGTAGTTGCTGCTTTAGCTCATGGATCAACTCTGTAGATTCTAGCGTTGGGATATATGTGGATGAACGTGTTTTCCGAAGGCACTGCAGGGCACTGGTCACAGGCTGGCTGCTGTGTCCCGGCTGCTGTTGTGCTGTTATCGTGGCTTTGGGAGTGCTAAAGGGTCGCTCCCACGGCCCTCGCGATACCTGGCTGCGTGCCCATGGGAGTTGCACCGGCTCTTCTGGGTTCCAACACTCCTGGTTGCCGGTCTAGGGGCATTGCCCTTCCTTCCTTCCTTCCTTCTTTCCTTCCTTCCTTCCTTCCTTCCTTCCTTCCTTCCTTCCTTCCTTCCTTCCTTCCTTCCTTCCTTTCTTCCTTCCTTCCTTCCTCCCTTCCTCTCTTCCTCCCTTCCTCTCTTTTAAAGATAATATTTTCTTTTTTTAAAAAGTATTTTTATTGATTTCAGAGAGGAAGGGAGAGGGAGAGAGAAATAGAAACATTAATGATGAAAGAGAATCATTGATTGGCTGACTCCTGCATTTTCCCAATGGGGATTGAGCCTGAAACTTGGGCATGTGCCCTGACCAGGGATCGAACCGTGACCTGGCAGGTTGACACTGATCCACTGTACCACTCTGGCTGAGCCTGGAGAGTTTCTAATGGAACCAGTGACACCGTGGGATGTGCGTGTGTTTTGCTTAAAAATCTGAGGCTTCGTGGGTGTACCCAGCTTGGTTCCTCTGCAGTGACACCCCAGGAGGCTGGTGTCTGTGACCTGCCCTGGGCCACGTGGTCACACACTCCCTGTTCTCCCTGCAGGAGCTCCACAGTGGGGACCCCAAGGAGGGACCTTTCCGGGAGGATCAGTGTCCTCTGGAAGGTAAGTCCTGCTCCCCAAACCCCACAGACTCTACCCTGTACCCCTGAGACCTGCCCTCAGGACACCTGGACAAGCTGAGGCCCAGATGGCATAGGCACGCCCACTCCCTGCTCCTTAACTTCCCCACCAAACCCAGACCAACACAGAGCAGCCTCCTCCCCACCATGATCTCCGAAGCCACTGCTGGCTGGGTGGGCAGAGCCAGGACACACCTGACCATGGCTACCCCAGGGGAGGGCTGAGGGCACACCTGACCATGGCTATCCCAGAACAGGGCTGAGGGCACACCTGACCATGGCTATCCCAGGGGAGGGCTGAGGGCACACCTGACCATGGCTATCCCCAGGGGAAGGCTGAGGGCACACCTGACCATGGCTACCCCAGGGGAGGGCTGAGGGCACACCTGACCATGGCTACCCCAGGCCAGGGCTGAGGGCACACCTGACCATGGCTATCCCAGGGGAGGGCTGAGGGCACACCTGACCATGGCTATCCCCAGGGGAAGGCTGAGGGCACACCTGACCATGGCTACCCCAGGCCAGGGCTGAGGGCACACCTGACCATGGCTACCCCAGGGGAGGGCTGAGGGCACACCTGACCATGGCTATCCCAGGCCAGGGCTGAGGGCACACCTGACCATGGCTATCCCCAGGGGAGGGCTGAGGGCACACCTGACCATGGTTATCCCAGGGGAGGGCTGAGGGCACACCTGACCATGGCTACCCCAGGGGAGGGCTGCGCTGCCCTCTGCACAGATCCCCTGATGCCTTCTTGTTCTGGAAGGATGGGCTGTCAGCTCAGGCCCGTCTGGGAAGGAGCACAGGCTCCCAGCTGCACCCTCCGGCAACCCTGTGCTGAGTCACCTCCCTGGGCGGGATGGGTAGGGTGGGGACGGCTCTCTCTCACTCCTTCTTCTACCTCCAGTGGCACTGCCCCCGGAGAAGGCCGAGGGTCGAGAGGGTCAGCTCTTCAGTGCAGATGATGCTGAGAGAGGTCTGCGAGGCCTGGGCAAGAAGCGCCTGAACATCGACGTAGGTCTTGGCTCTGCCTCCGGGTGCAAAAGGGTCCACGCTGGACTCGGCGCTCATGGGCCCTAAAACAGGGCCTTGCCTGGGCAGTCTGCCTGAGGTTCCGCCGGTGGAGGAGCTACAGCGAAGCTTGCCTGTGCTTCCAGCATCCGCCAGCTCTGGGAAAGGGAGTGGGGGTGGGCGAGGAAGGTGTGGCCACAAATCCAGCTCAAACTGGCTGATGTGGCATCCAATAATCTAGGGGGTTGGGGGGCGGACTTCCCGGTGTGGCGCCAGCACCCCAGGATGCCACGGAGGTCCGCCATTGGCCTTCCAAGGCAGGAGCTCCTGGGCGCGATGGAAGGACGCCTGCTTTCCGAGAGGTGGAGGGAGGCTCAGGTCCCAGGGCAGAGTGACAACCCCACCCGCCTCTGACCCCTTGTGCCCTGCAGGCGCTCCAGTGCGACGTCTCGGTGGAGGAGGACAACCGCCAGGAGTGGACCTTCACGCTCTATGGCTTCGACAACAGCGGGAAGGCCACCAGGGAGGTGATGCACCTGTGTCTTCGGAAGACGGTTCCCGGGCGGGAGCTGGCAGCAGGCGGATGCCAGGGCTCTGGTCTGGGTGATGAGGAGACAGGCAGAGCCCTCTAGGGTGGGAGGAGAGGCGGGACCTTCCCCGGCCGTGGGGGCAATGTGACCCAGGCAGCCGCTGGAGCCTCAGGAGCTGCGTGGCCCACGCTGTCGGCGCTGTTTCCAGCAGAGCCTGTGCCTGGACCCCCCCGCCTCCCCCGCCCCCCGTGAGGCACAGTGGGGCCGGCAGCTCCCAGGCAAGGTGGCTAGGGTCCCAGAATGCCCTCCGCGCTCACCTCGGCTGGCCTGTGTGTCCAGGATGGGCAGAGTGCCCCTGGGAAGGAAGCAGGCACATGAGACAACAGAAATAAGTGTCTTTGGGTTAAAGAGCAAAACGTAGGTAGTTATCTGAAGGCTAAGTCCTTCGAACATAGAAATTCAGTGTGAAACTTAAAAGGTCCGAGAGATGCAATTTCAACAATAGCAAGGCTTCTTACCCTGGAGGTTTGGTGCCACCACACGGGGCTAAAGTCGGGGTGAGAAAGGCTGCTCGGTGAGTCGTCCTGTCTGAGATGGGGCTGTATGGGTGCAGTGACTCGGGCAGGCAGCCTGGAGGCGGTGGCAGGTGGCGGTTCCCCGGCCCCGTCTGCCTGTCCGTGACGCCAGTGCCATCCTCAGGACATGTCCAGCCTGATGCACACCATCTACGAGGTCGTCGACGCCTCCGTCAACCACTCCTCCGGCAGCAGTAAGACCCTCCGTGTGAAGCTGACCGTCAGCCCCGAGCCCTCCGGCAAAAGGAGGGAGGGTCTCCCCGCCAGCCAGGGTGAGGGGCTGGGCCCCTGCTCCGATGCCCTGAAGACCCTGCTTTAGCTGGCAGCCCACCCCTCCCTGCAGACCCTCCTCCACCCAGCCCTTACCCCCACTCTGCACTTCCCCACTGCCCTTACCCCCCCCCCCCCACACCAGCCCATGGGAGTCATGTTAGTTGTGTCTACTGTTCAGCACCCCATTTCCCTTCCTCTCCCCAGTGGGACAAACGCTCTGGTTTCCTGAGCATGGAAAGCAGGGCCTTAGCACCTCGCAGGGGCTCAGAAATGTTTGCTTAGTAAATAGAGGAAGGAATGAAGGAAGAAAGGAGTGAACAAATGAATGAGTGAATTCACTCTTTCAGACCGGGAACCCAGTCGCTGCAGGACGGAGGGCGAGGCCTTCGAGGACCCCAGGGTGGCTGACAGGAGGCTGTCTGCTCACATCAGGTGAGGGGCTGGGGTCTGGCTCCACCCTCCAGGTGTGCCCTCCTCACGGGGAGCAGCCTCAGGGACGAGCACCTGGGTGTGGAGGAGCACTGGGTGCAGGACCCCGTTGGGGTGAGGGTGCCGTTTTGCGGCCCGGACTCAGGCTGGAGCTGAGCACACCCAGTGTCTGTCCGAGGGCTGGGTGAGGCTTGAAGGGTAGGCCGGCCGAGGGACCCTCAGTCTGGCCACGCTGACACACCGTGATTCCACTCTCCAGCTGTGGTGGTGACGGGCAGTGGAGGTCTCAGAGCAGTGGCCCCGTCTCTGCCTCGGGGACCAGCAAACGGGAGTTCCCGCAGGTTCCCTAAGGCAGTCTGCAGCAGTGATCCTGGGGTCTTGGCGGGATCCCGGGCCAGTTGGGGACCTTGCTCTCCCGGACACCCATCCTTTCTGATGCCTCTCTCTGGGCGGCGGGTGCTGGTCAGAGTCCACTGCCCGGGACCATCCCCTTCAGTGCCCCCTTCATCTCCGAGGAAGATGAATGTGTGAAGGTCAGGCCCCTTCTGCCCTGTGCCCCACGCAGGAGGCCCAACGCTGACCCACACCCCTGCCCTGTGAGGGGGCTGTACTGCGTGGACGAGAACACCGAGCGGAGAAACCACTACCTGGACCTGGCCGGGATAGAGAACTACACGTCTAAGTTCGGGCCTGGTAGGTACTGGGTGGGACCTGGGTGAGAGGCCTCCTTTAGCAGCCTGAGCCCTGGCCTGGGGGTTCGAGGGCTCCTGCCACACTATGCTGCAGTATTGCGTCCAGGCGTGTAGGTGTGTGTGGGGGGGGCAGAGGGGGCGGGGTACCTGGTCCAAGGTGAGGTGCCAGGCCCTGCAGTGGGTCTCATGGTCTGTGTCCCCTGTGTGCAGGGTCCCCGCCGGCACAGGCCAAGCAGGAGCACCAGGGCAAGGCCGCACACCCCCCGAGCAGGTCCCGCTCCCAGGAGTCCGATGCACACACAGGTCACAACCGCCGGTCCCAGGTGCTGGCTGACCACGTCCTGCTGGCCGGCGACCCCGCTGCCCGGGCCCTGGACCTGCAGCCCCGGCTGAAGGGGCAGGAGAAGCAGTTCCTCAAGTCCCCCAAGGGCTCGGGCAGGCCGCCTGGGGTGCCCGGTGGGAGCGTGCCCATTGGGGGCATGCCAGGCGGGGGCAAGCCCGGGAGGGCTTTCAGCTACCACCCACCGGCTGCCTTGCCCCAGGCCCCCCAGGACGGTCACCACCTCCCGCAGCCCCCGCCGCAGCCCCCGCCGCCGCAGCCCTACGGCCACAAGCGGTACCGGCAGAAGGGCAGGGAGGGCCACTCGCCCCTCAAGGCCGCGGCGCTGGGCCAGCCCGTGGTGATGGAGCACGAGGTGGTGCGGGACCTGCCGCCCGTGCTGCTGGGGGAGGGCTACCCGGTGCCCGTGGTCCAGCGCCACGAGCACCACCACCACCACGAACACCACCACCACCACCATTACCACCACCACCACCCGTCCTAGCGTGCACGCCCGCCCCGGCGCCCCTGGCCAGGAGCCTGGCTGCAGGCCTCCCGTGGGCAGCGGCGGCGGCACCCGTGGACATGCGTGGAGCAGGCCCTGGGCGCTCCCTCCACGTGCCTTCCCTCTGCGCTCCTGACGGATGTCATGTTGGGATGGGTATGTTCGATGCCACTGATGCTCCCCAGTTACAAAGTGATTCTGTGTAACCCATAAAACCACATGTACCCGTAGAAAAGCACATTGTATCTTTCATTTATGATCCCGGAAGGAGCCCTCATGGCGCAGGAGGGACTCTGCTCAGCTGGCTCGGTGTTTGTCTCCTGGTGCCTCATGCGCTGGGGGCCTTGGACCGAGGCCTGCAGGGTGGCGGGGCCGGGCTGCCCCGTAGCCGGGAGTGAACGTGGTTGGCATAATTATTCGTTCTGAAGGTCAAGGGAGGCGGTTTGGGGGAGCCGTTGTTCCTCCGTGCGCTGCGTGTGCGGTGGGGAGTTCTGCCTCACCAAACGGAGCGCAGATCACACAGAAGACTGGTGGCCACAAGGCGGGTGGAAGCACTCCTCACCGCAGTCATGAAATTTGGAGGGGAGGCTCTGAGAGCAGAGAGGGGGTCCATGTGGGGCTGGCACCAGCGTCGCAGCAGACAGCAGGGTGGGGGCAGGTGGTGGGTTCCACCTAAAACACCTGCGCAGGTTGGAGGCGGGACGCTTGTTGTCCGGGCTCAGGTAAACCATTGTAGAGCTCATCAAGCCTCCACGATGCCCACCTGGGAGGAAACGGGGTGCTCCCGCTGGAAGGGTGAGGGATAGGGGCGGTGACGGTGTCCGGGGGGCGTGGAACCTTGGCTGGCAGCATCCCCCTGTGGCAGGACCCTGCTGCCCCGTCTTCCGTCTGAGACGAGCAAGTGACTTTGAGAGTCTGTGCAGGTGAACTTGTATTCTTCGTGGAACTGTGTCTAAGAATCAAGCTAAATTGGTGATTGACATGTAATTGTGTTCCCTCCCCCCCTCAGGCATAATAAAAATATGTGCATTTTGTAATATGTCATTCCCTGTTTCAAAGTGAACTTTGTTAATAGATACGGCCAGTCCACCTGCACCAGCCTTTGGGGGCTGATGCTACATGGAGAGCGTGTCTGTCTCTGTTTAGACAGACATTTGCAGAAGGGAAATTAATGCACAACTCCAGATGTATGGGTAATGTTTCCCCCTACTTTACTGCTCTAAAAAACAAACAAAAAAACCCCCAAAACCTAAGCCCCAAGTTGAGTTTATGATAACAGGACACGTCAGGCCACTATCTGGGGCTGGGAGGACCGCGCTGTCCATGGAGACGCTGGGCTCTCTGTGCTGAGAATCTAGAGGAGCCGACCATTTGCCACCATCTCCTCCCTTTTGCCTTCACGTTCCTGATCATAGCCATTGTAAAGCCCCTAGGGATTTCCGAGTAACTAATGTCTGTCTATTGAGGCCACGTGTGTAGGGAGAACTGAGGGGTTCTCAGGATCTTTCGAGGCCAGAGCACTGGAATCTCAGTTTTCCAGGTGTTTCAGATCCTCAGACCCAGGCCGTTACCGGCTGCACAGTGCGGAGCGCCCTCTCCTGGCGAGACGCCTGCACTGGATTCACAGCTTGAATCTGCAGTGACACCCACACCCCTGGCAGCAGGGTTTTTACAGACTCGCCTGTCATCCCCACTGGGCCCGTTCCTCAGGGTGCAGAGCTCCTGCACGTGGTCCCACATTCAGGGACCGTATTTGTTAGTCCCTGCGGCCCTGCCACAGCCTCCCGGCAGGTGCTCAGCTCACCAGCTAGCAGGGAAGTCGGGTGGGCCTGAACTCCAACCTCTGACCCCAGACCCTGGTTTTAAGAACCATTCGTGCGTGCAGTGAACGCCAGCAAACACACCGGAAGCCGAGTATGTCGCTGCCTGTGAGTCCGAGCTGCAGAGAAGCATATCATTGTCCAGATTGGGATGACTGCGCCTGCGCGATCCATCCCACCAGCTCCCGCGGGCAGTAGCGCCCCCTGGCGGGCAGGGGGCACACAGCTTGCCTCCTCACTATTGTGACATCCTTAGTGAAGAGATGAAAACAGGGCCTGGCTGCCCGCCTATGTAGCTTTGACTGACCTACGAACCAGGTAGTCACGGTTTGATTCCTGATCAAGGTATATGCCCGGATAGTGGACTCAATCCCCAGTGGGGGGCATGCAGGAGGCAGCTGATCGATGATTCTTTCTCATCATTGGTGTTTCTATTTCTCTCTACCTCTCCTTCCCTCTCTGAAATCAGTAAAAATGTATTTAAAAAAAGAAAAAATAGCACCTGGTATATGAATGAAAGCTCGCGCTGATATTCCCACATATTAACTTAATTTCTGGACCGAAAACATAAAGATGATGCTTCCAGGGGCTTCCAGTGGTGTTTCAGAGGTAAGGGCACTGGAATCCAGTGGGCGGTTGTCTCTGTTTGGCCCCCTTCTCCACAGCAGTCATGCTTGTGGGGCAGATGTGAGTGCTATCCAGAGACCTCGTGGTCCCCTGACTCCTGCACTTTCACCCGCCTCTCACATGGGACAACCTAAAAAAAAATCAAGAAACAGACAAGCCACAGCCACCCTCTTGTCTCCTGAGCACTTGATGAGATCCTGGCAAAACAGGGCTTTGGGGGAAGTTGTACCAGAGAGGCCCCAGCAATACCAGGCCAGGGAGAACGGGCGGTGCTGGCCGGGCCCCAGGAGCCTGCGTGTGGGAGGGATGGGCAGGTGGCATTGAGTGGGGCCCAGAGACCAATCGCACCAGGGTCCCTGGCCCAGGCTGGGCTGCCTCAAGGAAAGCAGCCTACCCAGCAAGGTGCCTGCTCACAGGGTGAGTGCAATGGCGCTGCAGGAGAGGCTGAGTGCTGCCTGGAGCTCAGGATGCTCACAGGCACTGAGCTGAGGCCGACACACACCAGTGGTTCTGTTATATTGGCATTTGAGTTTGCCTTTCACACATCTGGGCTCTGCTGTCTTGTGCATCTGCACCCCTTTCCAGGGCTGTCCAGTAGCAAAGGTGCCACGCTGTCTGCGGCCCGGTGGGCACTGATGATGCCCACACTTGCTTCCCCATAGAACTCACTGCGTGGGTGCCCATGGCTGCGTGGCCCAGTTGGGACCTTAGGGCCCTACCATGTCTTCCCAGGAGTCTGAAAGCGCTTGGGGGCCTGGTCCTTCCACTCCCCTGTGATACCCTCACTCCTGCCCCGAAGGCCGGGCCCGTGCTCCAGGTCATGCATGTGAACATCCCCAGCAGAGACCAAAGGACAGCTGGGCACTCTAGTCCCTCCTCAGTAGTCCTGTGTCCACCCTCCCCATGGCCCCCAGGAGTCACAGTTAACAGCTTCACATGCCTGTTCACCACATGGCATTGTGTTCACACGGTGCACACTTCACCATGAGACTTCAGAACACCTTCACCCCAAAGAGAACCCCATGCCCGTGACCATGTTCCCCTCCCCCAGCCCGTTGGTGGTTACCTCACCACCAACCCACATTCTGCCTGGATTCCACTATCCTGCAGTTCATGTAAGTGGAATATACGTGACCTGTGGCTGGCTGTCACACAGCTCATCCGTGAGGTAGCACACGTCAGGGCGCCATTCCTTTCAACAACCGAGTTAGATTCCAGTGAATATGTTTATGTTTTGTTCAGTCACTTGTCAATGGAAGGGTAGGTGGGCTGTTCCCACATTTTGGCTGGTGTGAGCAGTGCGCACTTGTCTGTGGGCACACACCCCTCTGGGCTGTACACACAGGAGCAGGACTGCTGGGTCACAGTGACTGCTGAACAACTTTAGGAGCTTCAACGGTTTCTCCGCAGCCACATTCACATCCGCGGGCAGCCTTCCTGCCCCTTCGGCTCACCTCCATTCCATGGGTGTGACGTGGCCTGGCTGCGGTCCTGTTAGAATAAGGGGTCCCTCTAGTCTAAGGTGACCAGACGTCCCAATTTCTAACAATTTTTTTAAAAAAAGTCTTTTTTAAAATGCTGCGGGACAAATTGTTAGAAATCGGGACTGTCCCGCCAAAAGTGGGACGTCTGGTCACCTTACTGATTCTGGTCACCTTATTTGCTGATTCTATCCTGACAGAAGTTTTGGCAAACACCTCCAAGGGAAGGGAGGCATGGGGGCATCTTCTGCCAATTATCTAAGTTTTATGCCGAAAGAGACACGTGAGATTCTTCAACATAGATTTTTATTCTTCTACTAACAAAAACCATACAAAGACAAGGAGCCTGAAAAAGGAAAACAAAATCCACTTGAACTGGCTGCAGTTACAGTTACACAAAGCTCAGTGCGGGGAGACGGAGAGGGGGGTGCTCAGACCGAGGACAGGCGGGTGGGCGGACACGTGACCCCCTCACCAGGCACCTGTGAGTGAGGCGGTTTCGCTTAACTCAATGCTGAACCAGGACGGTCCACGTCTGAACCCCACCCCCACCCTGGCCGGCTGCAGCTACTTGGCACACATTCTGGCCAGTGGCCACTCGGATGGCAGTGCTGGCCCTCTAGGCTGCCTGATGGCTGCTCAGAACCATCTAGAAATGCACGCGTAGTCTTCGCCCCGACGTGAAGTCCAGGCCCAGGTCCGTTCTCTTGGGACCCCATGGAAACCTGAGGGCGCCAAGGCCGTGGTCCTTCGGGCCTTTCACGGGGACCGCCTCTTTAGGGACCACGTGGCATTGAAATGCCCGGGTGTTTAACGAAATAAATAAGCCACACGAGCGGGCGGGGCCCCAATCACCGCAGCATCTACAGTGCACGTGCTCACGACCGCAAGCAGAAAGACCACAAGGTAAAGTGCAAAGTCCACGGATCGCTAAAAGGTACCTCGTCAGTGCCCTAAACACGGCTGCCGCCACCCCTCCGTGTGGTGGAGGGACCAGGCTGCAGCCGGACAACTCAGTGCATGTGCCCTTCCCGCCGGGACCCCACGGCCTTGGCGGGCGCCCCGCCCCGGAGCCCGAGGGGGGCCACGGAGGCCACAGGAGCAAGTGTGTCAGACGCTGAGCCGTGTGGTGTGCTCACGGCTCTGAAGGTGTGAACGCCGGGCTCTCACAGCTCCCGTGTCTCAGAAACGTGCCCGCAGAGCCGGGACCGCAGTGCTTCTGAGAGGCTGGAGCGCCCGCAGCACACGCCTGGGCTCGGAGGGCTCCACGGGGGTGCTCTCCCTCAGAGGTTCCTGGAGCACCAGCCCAGCGAGACCACCCACCTCCTGTCCCCACAGAACCACGTTCCCTCACCAGAGGTCCCCAGAGACAGGGACCTGACCAAGGCCCCCAGCAGAGCCGGGATGTGGGCGTGGGCGGCTGGAGATAAACAGGGACATCCAAGAGCACAGACAGATGGGGGCGGACGGAGAACCTGTACTGAGCCCTTAGCCACAGGCTGACCTTCCGCATTCATACAGGACCCTAATGGCCCCAGGGTCAACTCCAGACCAAGTGTGGCTTCTTATGAATGTCCGGGACAGGGAAGAACTGAAATGTGCCAGGAGAATGAATTCTAGAATCCAGAGGCTCGGTGCATGGCCCTCACCGAGGGGCGCAGGTCCCAGGCCCACGGAGCCTCCCTCAGGAGCACCTGGAGCACCACGGGCATCTCCTCTCTCCTCGGCCTCGAGGAAACCTTCTCAGTCGCGCGCTGGCTCTCAGCTGGCACAGGAGAGCCCGCTGGTATTCTAGAAGCTTCTGTAGGAAGTCACGCTGGCAGGTCAGGCTGTGGTCTGTGCCAGACACGAGCCCCGCGCCTGCCCCTCGAGCTTCCCGAGCAGCTGGGCGTTAGGAGTAGATGGTGATCACCTCCCGGCCGCTGCCCCGGACCAGGAGCACCCTGTTCAGCCCCTCGGTCAGGACCTCGAGGAACTCCATATCTGAGGTGGACGGAGTTAAGGCCATAGCTGACCCCACGGGACATGTAGCCTAAGGCGTGAGAAGAGTGACTTACTCAGGGTCCTGTGTCGTTAGGAGTCGGTCTGAGAAAGAGATGAGGGCGGGGTGAGGGAAGGCTAGGGGTGGGGTGGGAGAGCGACCCAGGCAGGCAGGGGTCCCAGGGATGCAGCCGGCGGCGCTGACCCCACCCAACAGGAGGCCTCCACAGACACAGATGGTCTAACGGGGAACCGAGAGGAGACCCTGCACTCCCTGGGGGCTCTGGGTGCAGACCCACCAGGAGGGATGTGCCTGATAGGCATGTCCACTGTCCACCAAGACAACCAGAGAGACCGGGACATAAATCCCTTTCTCACTGGTCAGTGAGAAAGAAGCTTGAACCTGAGAGCCCAGCTGCTGACTCCTCCTGCTCACCTCTTCCCCTGCACCCCCAGGAGAGGGAGGGAGACCATGGTCCTAAGCCACACCCCCAGGCAGCCTGCAGCAGGGCTGACCTGTGACCTCTAAGGTCACAACCTCCCACTCTGTGGCTGACACACACCGATCAACTATGTAGGACCAGGGGGCCCATGTGGGGGACACAGGGCTCCATGGATAGAAAGGTGTTTAAAGAGCAGCAAGATGCCAAGATGGCTCAGAGTTGAGCCTGGGCAGAGCCTGTGACCCCGTCGCCAGGCCTGCTCCGTCCCAGAGATGGAGTCACACACAGGCGCCCGACAGGCCTCAGGGAAACACCAGGACAGGAGCCTGCCGGGCGGGGGCTCGGAGCCCAGAGCCTACCCCACCCACCTCCCCGCCCCAAGAGGGCGTCCGGGAAAGGATACAGTTCTCATCCCCCTGCCGGTTTTTGGGGGGCCCCGGCATGTTCAGCAGGACCAGCTGGGCATCCTGGGACTTGTTCAGGACGACACCGTTGAGCTTCACCGCCGTGTGCATCCTCCTGACGTTGGACTGGTTCCTGCAAAAGGGAAGCAGTCACTCTGCACCCCCCGCCCACGAGGCTGGGCACCAGGCCGGATCTGAACCCTCGTCTGCCCCACTTGGCGCCCATCGGAAAGGGCCAAGTGGAAACAAATCCGATTCAGACCGACTCACAGACCCGAGGCTCCATGGGCGGCGATTCCATGGGCAGAGAGCACGTTTGGGGACGGAGGGCAGGGAGGGGGGTTTATTCAGCAACCAGAAGGCAATGGCCTCCTGGCACTTCAGACGAAGACTCACTAAAGCTGCCGAGCGTCTAGCTCACAAGCGATTGTCGACACAGGAGGAAACAAATGCTTCGGGGGGAGCTTGCTGTCTGGGCGCACGCATCCGGGGGCTCTGACCTGTGTCCAGGTGGAATCCCCAGCCAAACCTCACTTTAAACATGGGTGAGTTCGTTAAACCCAGCGCACAGGCTGACCTCTCTCGCAGCCTGACACAGGCTGGGGTGGGAGGAGCCCAGAGGTAGAGGGGAAGGAGCCAGGCCCCCGCACCTGGCTCCTCCCCCCACTACAGTCTGAAGCCCGGTACCAACGCCCAAGATCCTGGCTGAGGACGTGGCCGCTGTGAGGTCCAACCTGCTCTGGGTCCTCCCGGCCACTGCTGCTCTTGGCTCTGTCTGAAGGACAAGAGCCTCCAACACTCCACGGCCCTGTGTCTTGGGGCCTCACTCACTAACCAGTTCTCACATCTAGAGAGAGTGCAGACCCACACCCTCCGGCTTGCCAGGCACTCAGGCCCCCAGCCAGGTGGCCGTGGGTCCCCTCTCTAGGGGATTGCTCCAATGAGCACTCAGGAGCCCGTCTTCAGAGCCCGCCCACCTCAAAGCATTTGCCTCTTCCTGTGCCAGATGACTGTGGGGTCACACACGGGGGATCCATGGCCAGCCTCAGGACATCCAGCCTGGCTGCAGCCCTTCTACTAGGTCACTGTGGCTGGGACACGAGGGGGACGGTGGCAGACAGACAGACAGACAGAGGCCGCACACGAGGGGTCGGGAAAAGGCCTGCAGGACAAAGAGGCCCAGGCCGTACTCTTTGATCAATTCAACCCTTCAACCCAATGAACCTGATTATAACCACCAATTATTACCAGCAGGAAAACAGGGACACACAGGCCCTTTATTTCCTCCCTCAAATTCCGTCTGATAAAATTAGAGATCGGGTCTCTGTCCGAGGCACGACCGGGACCTCTCATCACAACAACCATGAATTAGGTGCCCGGAGAGACCACAATTACCAGTGTGCCTGGGGAGGGCAGCAATTCTGGAAACGCATGTGTGAGGTATTAGAGGGCCTCTGGGGCGAGGAGTCTGAAAGCACATATAATCTTACAATCAGGGGTTTGGGCCGGGAAGGACCCGTGGCTCCAGAACAAAGTGACCCCACTGCAGGTCAAAGGCCCAACAGGGACAGGGTGGCCCTCACGTCCCCAGAGGCTGAGAGTCTGTGGAGCCCACAAAGTCGGAAAAGTATCAAAGACCCCGACTCGGCCAGAGGGAGAAGAGCTTTCGAAACAGGGTTTCAGAGGCTAGGAATTAAGTCCAGGGGGATGGGGATGGGGTAAGTTAAATGGCGATTCTGGTCCCTCGTGACGACATGGCAAGGACTGAGGAAATGTAGGGGGAAAAAAAACAAAACCAATAAACACACGCACTGCACACCCTGGAGAGCCAGAAAACCACCCCGAAGTGCATGTGCCCCGGGGACACACGGTGAGGCACGCACACGTCAGGGTGGGCTGACCCCCACTTCCCGTAGCCTCTCTCAGCCTAACCATGAGGAGGACCCGGCAGGAGTGCGGCCCTGGAGGAACGGACACCCACAGGCTTAGTTCTGCCCATGACACAGCCTCTTCCTGGTTCATTCTCTCCTGAGTCCCCAGGCCGGGGGGTCCATGCCGAGCCCTGCTCCAGGCAGGGGTTGGAGGTCCAGGTGCATGGAGCCTGTCCTGAGCCCACAGGTGCCGCACAGGGATTATAACAGGGCCATCGGTCCGCAGTGCTTTAGGGAGAAATCCGACCTGTGTCTACATGTTGTTGGTTTTTTTTTAATGTATAGACTTTGGGGGTGGGATTTTAAATTTGCAGAACGTAGTCCCATGTACATCCTGAGCAGTCTCCCTAATATGTCTAGGTTTGTGCCCTCAATGGACCAACATTGTTACCTAATTCACTTGGGTTTAGGGGTCAAGAAAGGAACTGTAGCCACCAAGGCCCCAGACACTGCCTTGAACTGGGCCACACCAGAGAAAACAGCCCAACAGTTCCTGGGGCAGCCAGGAAAGGGGGGACACAACAGAGAAAGAGGGACGGGCAGATGGACCAACAGCAGCTTCAGGGGGCCCTCCCCGCCCCCTGGCCAGCCTGGCCCCGGCCCCCTGTCCATGGGACTAAGTCCCGCCCTGACTGTACAGAGAATTCATCCACATCCCTTTTCACACAGACGTTACAGGTCAGCAGCTTCCCTCCCACAGGGTGAAAGCCGTCTGATGTGGGGGCACAGGAAATCCTGTCCCCGCAGAACCGAGGCTGGTATCCGAGTGCTTGATCCAGGGATGTGGATGAATCTACTAACAGCTACCAAACAAAACACATGCTTCCGCTCGGAGCCGGCTCAGGACCCACCGGCCCAGATCTCTGTGCTTCCGTGGAATTCAGAGAATGAATCTCAGGAATGTGCCGTGAGCCGCTCTGAATGGAGAAGAGCAATCAGACAGGAAATAACGGAAAGCTACAGCAGCGGCGAGCAAGCTCCGCCTGCACACGGACTCGCACGCATACACGGCCACGCACACACGGGTTACTAAGGGTACGTGGATCAGGCATGCGAAGCAAGCAGGCTAACAGGTATCCTAAACCAGGTGACTTACAGGTTTCCCCATTCTCTACATGGAAGAGAAAAACAGAGAGCACATGTTACTTCGGCAGTGATCACGATACACACTTTTAAACAACTGTCGGCTCATCCCAGGCTGCCCTTTCCTGGCCGGTTACCCTGGACTTCTCTGTGAGGGTCCTGGAGAGCCCCAGGCCCTTCCCAACCGCCTGGGCTCTGGAGTCTAGCCCTCCACTAATGCCCTCAGGGAGGCTCTGCTTTGCTATCCTGGGACCCAGAGCTGTGTGACTACGATGCAACCAGACCCGTTCTTGGGGCCCAGCCATGCCATGTTCTCCACGGGCACCTCTGCCAGCCCTGGCGGTTCTCAGCTCAATGCCACAGGCGGGAGCCAAGGCAGGGGGACAGGTCTCTGGCTCTGACAGGCACCCGCATCATCAGCAGGTCCAAGCTGGAGTTGTGATCTGTCCAGGAGCCCTCACTTTTAGCTGCTGTAAGACTCACCAGAGCACAGTCAGTAACTTCCCGAGAGGACACTGTGGCCCCCGGGCTGGTTCCCTGCCCTCCAGGCCTGCCAGCCTGCAGCTGTGTGCCCGCTGCCCTGTCACAGGCAACACAGGGTGGTGGGACCTGCCACCCGGGCCCCCAGGTTGCCACTCACGGCTTCAGGCTGAAGAGGTCTTTGAACCCGGACATGTTGGCATCTTTGTTCTTCAGCTTCTCGGCGATCAGCTTCTCCTTCGTCCAGGTCATCTGCACTTTGTCGGGTGTGGCAGGGGCGCGGGTCCTGGCGGCCACCACAGAATGGGATGCGGTGTTCCGGTCGTGAATTAGCTGAGCCTGGTGGGAGGGCAGGGGCAGCAACAGGCTCACCACAGCAGGTCCCCAACCTCCCGAGAAAGAGGTGAACATGGAAGGGAGAAGCTGCTGGCCCAACTGAAACCAGGGACCCCCAGACAGCCTCCCAGCTAAGGCCCTAGTTCTGCCCCACTCCCACCAGTCCTCCTGGGCTTCCAGACCAAATTCATCACTTCCTCTCCTCCTTCACCGTCTCCTCCTGCCCCAGCTCTGAAAGCTGGCTCAAAGTGCCCGCAAAGTCCTGGGCCCCTCAGCCCGGGGTCCGGAGGAACAGTGAGTCCTGCACCCGCACCCATGCACACCCGGGCCCACACACACCTCCCTCTCCCGCTCCGTCTTGGACAGCTGCATCTGCTTCAGCATCTGGCTCCTCTGCTCCATGACCAGCGTCTTCTCATAGGTGAAGGCGGAGATATCGTTCTCAACCTAGAACGCCCCGGGACACAGAAGTAAACTCAGTGTGTACAGAAATCCACGCTCTCACCACAGATCACCGCGTCAGGTGGAGCAGGTACTGAACAATGGGGGCCCGGCCCCTCCCTCTGCGGCTCAGGGCCTCCAGCCCCAGTAGGGGTGAGCATGTGTGCATGTATGAGTGCATGTAAGTGTGATTCTGTGTGTAAGCATGTACGTGTTGGTGTACATGTGCGAGTGTGTGAGCATATATGTGAATCAGCATGTGAGTGTGAACATGTGCATATATGTGAATCAGCATGTGAGTGTGTGTAAGCACATGTGTGGGTGAGCATGTGCATAAGTGAGTATAAGATGAGTGTGTATGTGTGTGTGTGCATGGACATGAATGCTGGTGAATGTGAGCATGTGAGCAGAAAGGGTGTGAGACTGTGTCAGTGCCTGAGTGTGTGACAGCCCTCACAATTCTCCGTCTTCATCACAGGAATAGGTAAATGTCACATTTCCCCTACAGGACAAACTAGAGGGCAGCCACCTCTGGGAGTCTTCCTCTCACAAAATACACCCAGCCCACCCACGGGGAAAACATCAGGCAAGCCTAACCTGAGGGGCAGTTTACAAAGCACCCGAGTCCCTCTAACTGCCTCGGTCACAAAGGAAAAGGGAGAAACTGTCACGTCCCAGAGGAGGGTGTCAGCGTGGGGTCCCGGGCCAGAAAAGGGCCTGGGAGAACCTGAACAAAGCAGCTCGGCAGCAGCCCTGCCCCGAGCCCAGGCCCTCACCATCTCCACCACCTCCACCTCCGCGCTGATCCGCAGGTGGTACAGGAACGTCTGCAGGTCCTTCTTCATCTGAATGCTGTTGTCGTCCACCTGCGCGACCGTGAAGATGCGCATCCGGCACTTCCTCCACACCTGGGGGGGCAACTGCTCTCAGGGCAGCTCTGACACGCTGGCCCCCTGCCCACCTCAGGGGACACAGGCCACCCAGTCTCCCACCTCACGTGACCCCCCCCCGGCACTCTCCCACAGTGTGACCCCCACCCCACCAATGAATGGCCCCTGACCCCAAATCTGTGACCCCTGACCCCCACCTATAACCCACCCCGTGACCCCCGCTCCCACCTTGTGCTGCCGCAGCAGGAAGGGCAGCAGCATTAGCAGGCCCCCGTCGTGTACGATCCACCACACGTCGATGTGCCCATCGCTGAAGCGCTCCTGGTTTTGCGGGAACAGGTCCACGTTTTTGGCCACCAGCAGGGCCTGCTGCGCCGCCGTGGTGTCGCGAACGGTGTCTGTGGAGGCGGCACACAGGTCAGCAGGGCCTCGGCAGCACTGCACACGCCGTGGACTCGCTGGGCACAGCCAGCGCAGGAGGCGGCCACAGGGTCCTCATGAAGCCCCCGCCTGGGTGGGCTCCAAAGGCAGCACTTGCTCCATCAGCAGCTCGGCAGCCGGCACAGGGGTGTGGGCGGCCAAGCCGGGTACTTCCCCAGGGATGGCCAAACCGAGGGGCATAGTTGGGAGAAAGGGAGAGGACGGCTCAAAGAGCCATTTGCTGTTCAAATGTTTTCAAGTGAAACAGCACAGCCTGGGCTCCCCCTGACACCCCCAGCCTGTGGGAGACGTTACCCACCAACAAAGTTCTTCCAGGAGAAAGGGTTGTCCTCCTCCTTCCAGGACTCGGGCCAGGCCATGAGCACCGTGTTGTGCTTCATGCCCCCCAGGCCGGCCGACTGGATCAGGTGGGACATGCCGTCCCGCAGGTTGGAGGACACCACCAGCTGGCAGAAGCCTTTGGTCTTCTCGGTGCCCATCAGGGATCGGATGTTCTGGGGAGAGGCCGGGAGTCAGTGCCATATGCCCATGGCGCAGTCCGGGCACCAGCCCACCACAAGGCGCCAGGGCAGCCTGGGCGGACCCCACACCAACATCACTGCTTCAGGTGAGGCCACAGGCTCGCGGGTGGTGCTTGTGGCACCAAATTCAGGACCCGGCAGGTGCTCTGGGGTCCCCTGCCTGTGTGTGCCTGCGGTGGAGTTTGAAATCATCGGGCAATCCCATTGGTCTCAGGGCCGGGGTGTGTCTCTGTGGCTAGTGGCTCTGCCTAAAGCAGACCTGAGCCTTTGGTCTTCTCAAAGAGTGGAGGGAAGGGATGTGAGGGCGATCTGGCTGCGACATCTGTCACCCCATTGATCGCCAGGGTTGATTCGGCTGATGTGGCTGGCTAGGCGGGTGTCCCCCTCCTCCCTCACCGATCCATATGCGTCCCTCCCGAAGCTGCACGCTCGGTCGAAGAGGACGACTTTCCCCCAAGAGGAGAGGACCGGTCTTCGGTCAAGGGTATACGAGTAGCTGCGCTCCCCTGCTAGAACCTCCAAACAAGCTCTCAAGGTCCAAAGAGTGGAGGGATGGTCAGTGCTAGACATACAACTTGAGGTGGTTCTTTCCACGTGACTCCATATCTCACAAAACGGCCCACTATTTCACTGGAACATGTTGAGCCCGGGGTTAGACACCTGGTCTGTTGAAAACTCCACTAGACCATGTCAAGGCTAACAACTCTTCTAAGAAAGAGCATGGTACTTCACAGGCTCAGGATAAAATACGAGGTGCACACCAGGTGCCCCGCCATGTGCAGTTTCTGTCTGCTCAGTCACCAGGCATCTGACCAGCCAGCTCAATACCAGAAGAGTTCCAACACAGTGACCAACAGCATGTCATCCATGAAAGCAATGCCAAGGCGGATGCTGGTCTTCTCCCTGGCCAAGCTGAGCAGCCCAGAGGCCAGGCTCAGGCCTGTTTTAGGCAGAGCCATGAGCCACAGAGACGCACTCCCAGCTCTGAGACCAATGGGACCGCCTGATGGATCTCAAACTCCTCACGTGTCTGCCTCCTAAAATGGCAATGTCTCCCAGGTCTGCCCACACTGCACTATGGAACACAGGTCACTTGTTTTCTTAAGTCTCAGAGGTCAGTGGACAGAGGAATTTAGCTCAGGATGAACTATACCCAGAGGTGCACCAACACTCAATGAAAATGATGAAGATGAGATTTGGGACCTCTGATAGCCAGATGGGATTCTGGGCTGAATTGATAAAGAGCAGAGGCTGTGGAGTGTGTTGGGGTAAGATGCATGTATTCTGCACATAAGACAGATAAGCATTTTGGGGTTCAGAGGACAGACTATAGTGGGTTGATGGTGGCCCCCCAAAAGATATGCTTAAATCCTAATCTTGATAACCTGTGGATGTGGACTGAAGTGGAAAATGGGTCTCTAAGATGAAGAGATCATCCTGCATTACCCAGGTGGCCTTGAATGCAGTGACAAGTGCCCTTAAAAGAGACAGAAGAGGAAAGACAAGAGGCACAGAGAAGGCACAGCGGCAAAGACAGGAACAGAAGTGTGAGGAACGTGGCCACAAGCCTAGGGACGCCTGGAGCCTCCAGTAGCTGGAGGTTGCAGGAAAGGTCCCCCTCAAAGTCTTGGGAGGGCGTGCGACCCTGCAGCACCTTGATTTTGGACTTCCGACCCCAAGAGAGGGAGGATAAACCTGTGCTGTCAGCTCCTCAGGTGTGTTGAGTTACAGCCACTGTAGGCAGGACATTCCTACTAAGGGCTAGAGTCACTGCCTCCCTCTGGTTTTGCTGAGACCTCAGAGCCTCTGAGCAGGCAACCCCAGCAGGACAGGGGCCTCCAACAAGGAAGGACATGGATTGAAGCCTCTCAAACTTGGAATCAGTTGACAACAGTAGTGCACCATGAGCACTAAGGCAGAGCCACAAGCCACAATTTGGGGACCACCATCAACCCATAAGGACTCTAAAGAAACGTGAACATCAGGACCTTACCAAGGTTTGAGCTAAACAGCCTGGGCACCAGGTCTGCAACTTCCTGAGTGTCACCTGCACTGGCTGTCTCTTTAAGTCGCAGAGCAGCACATATTGGGGGCCATTTCTTAAGCAGGTTTCAGTCCTGCGTGTTTCAAACTCAAAGACCACTGTCATTTTTGAGACCAGTGATAGCAAAACACACAACACTGTGCCTGGGGCATCGGAGATGGGAGACCTTCACCTGCAGCCCAGGCAGACATGGCCTTCCTACACCCTCCCCGCCCCCCTTCACAGGCCACCCTGGTCCCACATCATCTTCCAGTCCGAGCCGTGCCCACCCACCTCCTCAGCCTGCTGGGCTTCAGCGTGCTTGTCCAGGTAGGTCCCCTCCAGCACAGAGCCCACGATGGTGAGGCCCTTGCCAGCCTTGAGCTGCGTGGTGAAGGACAGCAGGCGGGGGTGCTTCACACACTGTTCGGAGTCCAGGTTCAACATCACCAGCACCTGGGGCCTGTGTAGGGAGAGCAGTTACCGTGGCAACTGATCACCACACACTCACCGTAGACATGTTGAGACAGGTATGACAAGTGAAACAGGTGAACAGATGGGACAGGTGAATAGGTGGGACAAGTGAACAGGTTGGACAGGTGAACAGGTGGGACAGGTGAACAGGTGAGACAGGTGAACAGGGGGGACAGGTGAACAGGGGGGACAGGTGAACAGCGGGGACAGAGGAACAGGTGGGATAGAGGAACAGATGGGACAGGTGAATAGTCAAATACCGCCTGGGGCTCCTGCTGTAAACCCCAGTGGGTACTTCCTGTCCCTGCCTGTTAACACCTCAGGTAAGTGCAGGAGGGGAGACCAAGGCCTTTCCATACAGATTAAATTCCCTCCCACCCCCTTCCCAGAAGCAAGAAGAGGGCACACCTGCTGCACGCTGAAGACCACCATTCGCAGGAGCCCCCAGGAAAGCTCACCCACTTCCACGCCCACACAGTCCAGGCCCAGCCTAACGCCGGCACCGCCCTCCGGATGTCTGATCAGACACAAGCTGATCACACCCCTCCCCTCAGCCCCACGGATGGAGGGAAGGCACTCGGAGCTTCTGAGACACTTCCCTAACAAGAGGAGGACCCGTTCTAAGTCTGACGTTGGAACAAGTGCTCCGTGGGATCAGCGGGCAGGGCCGCCGGCTCTCACCTCCAGTTCTTGGTGTGGAGGGTGCCGTGTTCCACACGCAGCAGGGCGTAGCGGGCAGCATTGAGCGACAGCCCCCTGATGCCATCGCCCCACTCCTTCTCGGCCCTGCGGAGGAAGGGGTGGCAGTGAGGCCCCCACGGCCACTCAGAAGGTGCCTGCAGGGCAGCCGCCCAGAAAGCTGCCTTAGGGTCTCTCTGCACTTCTGTGATGGAGGAGGGGCTAGCAGGCAGGCTGAGAGCGGAAGAGGCAGGACATGGGGAGGTGCGCCCTGGCTGGAAGGGGTGGGGGAGGTGACCCTGGCACCTGGGTGGGTCCTCAGATGGGCCAATGGGGAACTACAGGAGAAGGTGGGGGCTGATGGGCAGGCAGTGACCTGGGCAGAGCTGGCTCGGAAAGATTGGGCTTCACCACATGAGCCTCAGACTGACCCTCCTTCCAAACCACTAGAGCTGGGACGGAGCTTTTGGCAGCCCGCCCATCTGCCACCTGGCAAGAGGGCCCGCCTACCCCGCACGGACCAGGGGGGGCTGGGGAACTGCCCCAGTGAGGAACCACAGGCTCTGAGACGCAGGTAACCTACGGGCACTATCGCTGCCCACGGCTTTGGGGTTTTTTTTGTTTTGTTTTGTTTGTTTTTTTCTGTCAGTGAGGGTTCTGGAAATGTTGAAACCTGTCACACATCAGTGCTGCCATCCATAGATTTTTGTTTCCAAAAAGCCAGCTAAAATATGGCATGTATATATAGACACAGATAAACCTCATGTTGTGTCTCACAAACTTGGAATCAGCTGACAGCAGCAGATGTGGCAGCTCTCCACCTGTCCACCGATAGGACGATGGCTGCCGCGGAGATCTCGCCCAGGTCCCCCTGCCCCCTCCAGTCCAATGCACCCCTTCCCCTCCTCCGAGAACACGCCCGGGTTGACAGGGACCCTGTGGCCGCGGCGGCCGTGTGGCCCGCAGAGCTCACCCTCGGTACTCGATGTACTTGTAGATACAGCCGGCGATGAGCATGGCGAACAGGGCATAGTACCAGGAGCAGATGAACATCAGTGCCAGGCACAGGCTCATGCCCAGGAAGGACAGCGTCCTGGGGGGAGTATGTGGTCATCCAATGGCCACAAGTGGGAACCAGAGTCCATGCCCTGGCCTGGACCCTGACCCGCACATCCCACACACCGCCTGTCCCATGCCCCAGACTAGCGTCTGAGCTGCTGCCTCAAAAAGGTCCCTCAGTGAAAACCTTTCTTTCAGTTACTCCTAAAAACCGGCAGGGATGCCTAGCAGCTGCTCCTCCATCCTGAGTTGGCTCTGAAGTCTGGAACAGCCTCACGACACCTGCTGAAGCCCTGGCTCCTCAGCTGTGCTGAACGCCCACTCTGCTCCCCAAGGCGCTCTGCATCCCGCGGGGCACAAAACCCAGCACCCGACACCCCGGAACACAAGACCCAGCGGCCTGGGTCCCACAGCAGGCGTCCCAGGGGACACACACAGGCACGCCGTCCTCACCAGCCTGGCTGGGGGCTTCCACAAAGGACAGCCCGGGCCCCGCAGCCTCCGGCCTGGCAGACACACCCTCCCCGCGTAGCCTCACAGGCAGTAGTCTTACCAGTGGTAGTATCTGAAGCGTGGGCGCCAATTGGGGGTGCGCAGGAGGGTCTGCACAGCGCACGCCAGGTTCACAAACATGTAGCACATGAGGAAGAACCTGGGGTCCAAGCAGCAGCATCAGAGGAGCTGAGCCAGGTCCCACGGTGGCCCCAGCATCTGCTCTGTCCTGTGGGAGTTCCTGCCCACCGCCTCCCGAGAAGCCCTCGTCCACATCACTCCTCTTCCAGTGGGTGTGGGTGTGTGTGTCTCCCTACCCCCCTCGTCCACATCACTGTTCCCCCAGTGCAGGGGGAGGAGGGTGTCTCCCTGACCCCTTGTCCACCTCACTGTCCTTCCTGGGGGTCTCCCTGTCTCACCATCCACATCACTGTCCCTCCTTCGGGTGTCTCTGGCCCCCTCTCACCCACATCACTTTCCACACCAAATCCCCCTGGGCCCCTCCCTGTCTGTGGTCCCCTCAGCGGGAGGCCAGCCCTAAGAACAGGGCCTCACGCAGTGGCCACAGCGGTGACCACATCCCCTCGCCTCGTCCCCGTATGCCCTTGCCGTGCCCGTGCGCAGCTCACATGGAAAGGATGGGGGCCACACTGTCCAGGGAAGCGATGAGGATGCCGATCTCACAGATGAGGGCCGTGAGAAGCAGGGCCCACGTGGGCTCCCCGTTGGCCTTCCCGTGGCCAAACACCTGCAGGGAGAAGGGACGTGGGCTGGGGCAGGGCCGATGGCCGCGGGAACAGCCTGGAGCTGGCTGGTCCAACCCACAGGTCTCAGAGATGCAGCGTACAGAGAAGTGGATATCCATGATGCACCTGCACCCTACCCCGGAGCCCGGGAAAGGAACCTGACACCCAGAATGGGAGAGGCAGCCAGCAGTGTGCACTGTCAGACCCAGGGCAATACCCAGTATGTCAGACGGGGGTCTCTTAGGATCCTAAGCCCTCCCTCATGGGGAAAGAATTCTGCAAGGACCTCCTTGCAAGGCACCTGGACCTTCACCCACAGCCATGTGGGCGGCAGAAGTTCTGCCCCATGCTCAGACACCAGGCCTGAGAAGCTCTTCCCACACTCTGCCCGCTGCCCAGGATTCTGGGGAGGGAAACTGAGCACGCGGCAGAGACAGAACAAAACACGAAATGCAGACCCAGGGGAGCAGCCCCATCAGCCAAGCCTCGGGGGGAGGGGGTCCAAGGTGGGGCTCCCCAACACCAGGGCCACCTCCCGACGGTCCAGCACGGTCCCTGGGCCGGCAGTGCACCCTCCACGACCTTGTCTCTCCTGAGCGGACAGACGGAAGCAGTGAAAGAGGAAGAAACCCGAGTCTGCTGGGATTGGTTTCAGGAAACTACGTGAGAACAGCAGACGCTAAGTCACAGCAGCACGCTAGCCTCAGATGCTCGGTAAATATGAAGGTCGGTGTGTCCCCAAAATGCACCAGCACCTCAGGACAAGACCATGCATGAAGTTGAGGTCAGTGGGCTGGACCCTGAGCTGATCTGACTGGGGTCACGGTACGAACAGCAGAGCGGACACACACGGGGTGGCCATGTGAGCACCGAGGGAGATGAGGCCGTCTGCACCCCACGGAGTGGCCTCGGGAGGAAGCCTGAGACACCCTGACCTCGGACTTTGGCCTCCAGCCCAGGAGAGGCTCAGCCTGTGCTGTGTAAGCCCCGCGTGTGCGGCCCTGTCACGTGGCACCAGGGCACGAACACATCAACGGCCCCCAGTTCCTCTCAGAGGCGTCACCCCCCAACGGGAGGAAGCAGGGGCTCCGGACTCCGTGGCCCTCGTCGCCACAGGGGGACTGCTGGCTAGAGGTGGGGACAGGGGCCCTTCCCACCACCTTTAACCGTAAAGACTGTGCTCTGGGGCAGAACTTCGGGGACGGGACCCTCCAGACAAGTTCCCTCCCAGGGTCCCGCTCTCGGAAGGGAGCCCCACACCTGCAGGCAGCCGCTCACCTGGAGGAAGGGGACGATGCCGTCGCGGGCGATGGCCTGCAGCAGGCGCGGCGCCCCCGTCAGGCTCTGCAGGCCAGCACCGCAGGTGGAGAAGAAGGAGCCGATGACGATGACCCAGGGCGACGGCCAGGCCAGCATGCCGATGACCAGGTTCCCCTGCAGGGCCTCCCCGAACCTGCGGGAGGGGCGGCGGGGTGCATGTTGAAAACATGAGCTGAAGGTTAAACGTTTTCCCAGCTGCGGAGTGGGCACAATAGCGCTCCCCCCAAGTAAACGCACGGGCCCTGCTCCCCGAGGGCCCCCAGGAAGCCATGGCTGGCCCGTCCAGGATCCGTGAGGCCATTGTCACTCCTGCAAGTGACAGACAGCGGCACGGCCTCACTGTCAGGGACCTGCAGCCCTCACATTCAAGGGGCAGATGGACACACCGCTACCAGAAAGCGGGTTGGTGGGGCACTGTCTGCTGTTTCACTGAGCGGTGGTGGGGCCAGTGGGGTTCCCCATGCCTCTCTCAGGATCCCCTGCACTCCCAGCTCTGTCAGGTCTGAGATGGCTCTGTGGTCTCCCAGCAGGAGCAGGATGGACACATCAGACCAAACAGAACCTCAGCCAAGGGACCATGGGGGCCTAGTGCTCTACACGGGAAGTGTGAAGTCCTGAGTGATCTCAATTTCAAAGCTGAAGTCACTCAAGAAAACAGACTCTGTCCCCAGAAATTGCACATAAAAACCAACATACTTATCTCGCAAGATCACGCCTTCGATGCAGGCCCCAAAGAGCATGATGCAGGAGAGGTCTGTAGCTCGTGTCAAGGAAGCCGTGGACACCACGTGCTGGCAGCAGGGCCCTGGTCGCAGACGGGCCTGGAGCCACCCTGTGCCTGCCCACCCCCTCTGGCACTGCCATGTCCCCGTGGCCCTCGGGCACCTTCCTCACTGCTGAGCTCTGGCTCCACAGGACAGGGCCTCAGGTCAGGGAGGATGTGCGGGCCTGCCTGTGACCACTGAGGGGACACGCGCTCGCTCCAAAGGGACCCGCAGCAGTGAAGAGGACAGGCTGGCACCTCCGTGGCACTGTGGGTAAAACTGACAAGAGCACATGTGGGTGACCATGATGTGATACGTGATACTAACATCTGTGGTACACGGCATGTGGTAACGTGACTACTGTCTGTAGTTTAGACACAGTATCACATTCGCTAACCGACTGGAGGTGGTGCCAGGTGTCGTGTTTTATGTTCTCACGTCATATCAGCACCTAAGGTCCCTCTCCACGGGACAGATGTGATCAGAACTCGCCTAAACCAGAGCAGCTCACCCAAGCCTGCGCCTGCACCCCCCACACCGTTACCCCTTTAAGGATACAGATGAAAGATGTGGTCACAATGGCCAGGATGGTCCCGGTGGGGATCGACTTCTGGGCGTCCCTGAGGTCTCCAGATCGGTTCGAGCCCGCCATGATGCCTGCAGAGACAGACAGGCACCTGTCAGGATGGACGCAGCCGGGGCCTCAGCTGCAGAGACGTGAGCTGAAAACCACACCTGCGTGGGGCCGCTGTCCCCAGGTCAGGCCTCAAAGAGCACAGCCCATCACCGTGTGTATGTGGGACGGCTGCTGCGGGCACCTGAGAAAGGCTCCGAGTGTCCCCCACACTCTCCATGGGGACAGTGAATCCCACCATGAGCTACGTCACAGTCAAGACCAGAGCAAGGCTCAGCCCAGACACTTGCCGATGATACTAAAGCCAGAAGCAACCTCCGGAGCCACTTCCCTCTTAGATGGGGTTAATCCAGGTGGCTCGGTCAGAAACTCCCAGGACAATGATACTAATCAATGAATTCCTCATGGAGGCAGGTCTGAATCAAGCACTATAAGATGATCCTACAGTAACTGGAGGCCTCCTCACATTAACTCCACTTGGGGTGCAGTCCTGCTACTTTGAATGTGGGTGTGTCACTCCCTACGCCCTCGAGGCTCCCTCCCTCTCTCTGGTACAGAGAGTAAATGACTCCAACTGGGCTCAAAGAAACGCCAGCCGCTGGCAGGTTTGTTGAGTGCCTCATGAGCGTCTTCTAGGTGTGACCCGATGTGTTAGGAGCTCAGAAAGGCAGAGCTGGGTGGGAGTTCTGGTGCAGAGCCCACAGACAGGTGCCACCAGGCTCGGGGAACACCTGCATCCACAGAGGATGTCCCCACGCTCTCCACCCACCAGATCTGCGGCCATCCCATAACACTTCCTATCCTGACAGATTGGGGGTAACGGGGGAACAGATCCACACCCCACCGCTCACCGAAGTGAGTCCATAACCCCATCTTTAAGGGGAGACTAAAAAGAAGCACCCCTACCTATAAACCCCATGGTTAGTACGAGCTGAGATGAAATACAGAGGGGCAGGGGAGTGGCCCCTGGCAGGCCAGCTTCCCAGAGTGCAGTCAGGCTTGCTTTGGGGGCCAGGAGCCGACCAGGACAGGGACCAGAGGGACAGACACACCGCAGCTAAGGGGTGTCAGGCTCCTGCTCTGTGGGGGGACAGGATGAGGGGTGTCCTGGTGGGAGGTGGTTTCCAGGAGCAGTGTGCGTGTGAACCTGTGTGTGTGCACACACATGTGCATATGTACATGTCTATGTCAGCAAGATGAGGGACTCTCACACACTGAGGGCCCTCCCAGAGGCCAGCTGACTCTTGTAAGGACCGGGATGGCTGCAGCGCTGGCCACTCACAGCTCTCCATTCCCACTCCTAGGTGCCACCTAATCACGCACGGGGTGTCTCAGCGAGGCCACACCACAGTCAGTCACTGCTAACGACCCTGGCCGCTCAGGAGAGCTCAGAATAAAGCTGCCTGAAACCACCTGGCTTCCTGCGCTCCCCACTCAGAACAGATGGGGAGCAAACTGCAACTTTGCACTGCAAAACGGGGCGGGGGAGGGGGACAGGGTTGGCTACGTTAGAGCTGAGGGCAGAGCCGGCCCGGCCCGCCGGAGTGCCTGCGGCCTCACCCGTCACGGAGGGAAAGTAGATGCCGACCAGCATGGTGAAGTAGGTCATGATGTCGGTGAGCACGTAGGGCAGCTTGCTGTTTCTGCTCTCCTCTGGCACCGGGACCGAGGGCGTGCCCTGCTTCTCCACAAACACGCCTTTGTCCGTGTACACACTCCACAGGTTATCTGTGTGGGAAAGGATGGGTCACAGGACTTTGGAACCTTCTACCAGGGCTCCCGCCAGCCTGAGGCCCAGCAGATGCACCCGGCATACTCAAACTTCACACCGGACATCAAACTCAGAAACATCTCTGAGGACTGTTCACTAGTCACTGAATGAAAGATTTCTTTCTTTCTTTCTTTTTTTTTTTAATATATTTTATTGATTTTTAACAGAGAGGAAGAGAGAGAGATAGAGAGCTAGAAACGTCGATGAGAGAGAAACATCGGTCAGCTGCCTCTTGCACACCCCCTACCGGAGATGTGCCCGCAACCAATGTACATGCCCTTGACCGGAATTGAACCTGGGACCTTTCAGTCCGCAGACCGACGCTCTACCACTGAGCCAAACCAGCTTCGGCTGAATGAAAGATTTCTGTTCTACAGACACATGTGCAGATTTCCCTTGAACAAGCGTGTCCTAGAAGGCTCTGGGAGAGGTCTCCAAGTGGAGGGTCAGACAGCAATCCCCTCACACAGGTCGCCTCACTGATGGAGGACCCCTCCGGGGCAGCGATGACCCCAGCCCAACACACAATTAATTGAGGTGCCACCTTGAGTCCACCTCCTACTTATGCCAATGCACCCCTGAGCAGATCCTAGCTGGCTGAGCTATAGCCTGGAGGTCCCTCTCCTTTCAGAACCCCTTTTCCTCCAAAACCCCCTGTTGCAGAGCCCATCCCCTCAGGGGCCACCCTCTCCATATGGATCCCATCCTCCCATAGACACCCCCAACCCCATAGGTCATGTCTGCGTCTATCTCCCACCTTTGACCTAACCCTGCTCCCTCAGAGCAGGGCACCCTGTCTCCACTCTACCCTCCTGAGTGACCTGTGAACAGCTGCCCCTCCAAGGACCTTGCTCTGCCAGAACCAGAAGTCGGGGCTGGGGCACTAGCCGGGGGCCTCTGAGCATCAGGATCCCAGGCTGAAGGATGTGTGGGCGTGTGCAGCCCTGACCATCTCAACACAGTATAGCACCCCACCTCCCACCAAACCCACTGTCATCACAGCCCCAGAGGGACCCATGATATCCATCCACCTCGGGGCAGACAGCTGGGACCCAGTGATCACGGCCTCAGGATTAATCCACTTCCTCTTCCATACAAAGTCAGGCCTCTCTCCTGGTGTGTGTGTATGTGTGTGGATGGGGGGTAGAGTGCCAATTTCTCATCACAGAAGAACTCAAGAGACAGGAAAAACCAGTCCCCACTGGTTAATTACTCCCCTTATTAACAGAGCTGCTATGAAATCCTAAAGCCAAAGGATTCACTGGAGCCCCTGACCCGTTGGCCTCCACAAGCAGCTGCATCTAAAGCCTGGGAGAAGCAGGCCAAGCAGAGGCCCTGGCAGATCAGCAACCAAGGGCCGGGCAGCAGCTCGGGCTCCCGGGGACTGGGCTTTGGGCAACTCGGCCCCACCAAGATCCACCGGGCACTCACCCAGGAAGACGCCGCTGGCCACGCCGGGGATTCCCTGAATCTCCGTGAGGTTGTTCTGGGCAAAGTACTCGTCGCAGATGGCGTTGGGCATGGAGTTGTTGCAGAAGAGGCCCCAGAGCGCGGTGGTCACCGTGCCATTGTTGTTGGTGGAGACTTTGGCACAGACGTCGAAGTTGCGTCTCGATAACGTGCGGTTCCCAAGCAGACAGACCCTGGAGAGGAAGCGGGCGTGAGGGCATGTGCAGGACCTGAGAAATGACTCCCACCACTTTCTTCAGTGACGGTGGAGGTTTGCGGTGGGGAGGGGGGGGGGGGGGGAGGTATGCCAGTAGCTGCTGACACTCTCCATTTAGCATGATGGGAACATTGGCCGAGCAGCTGGAAATCAGCGTTTAAGCAGGAGTCCAGCTCTCATGCAGCGAGGGGCTGAGGGATGGTCTGTCCTGGAGCGAATGGGACTATTCTCACCCAGGTGGCTCCCTCCACATGGAGACAGGAGGGGTTTGGGTGCCAGCCCCTTCCCAGCCGCCCCCATCCAAGCCAGTGGGCAACCTGATGCCTGAGCACCAACCGTACCACCAGCTTGCTCACATGCTCTGTGATCTAGGGCCACTTCCTTGTGACTTAGTGTCCTCATTCAAAAAGGGGACAAGGGGAGAACCCACTGGAGGGTTTTCATGAGGACTAGGGGAGCAGGCCACAGCCAGGAGATCAGGTTTCCTGACCGTCCTCCGGGACACCAGCCAACCAATATGCCCCTAGGCCTTCGCCAAACCTCCCGTTCTGGCCTTGCAGGTGGCTGGCTACAAAAGCAGCCTGACTGCTCATGCCCGATGCCGGGGGGAGAAGGTAAGACTGCCAGACACACGGCCCCACCACTCCGGGCCCCGCCGTCATGCCATCAATGACAAGACGGAGGACTGGGACTCACGGGATGTCGGGCGGGTCGAAGGCCGACTTGATGACGCCGGCGTAGATGGCGAGGATGGACAGCACCACGCAGGCCAGGAACACCAGGGCCAGCTTGTTGACGTACTTGACGCCCACGAAGACCACCATGGCCATGAGGGCCAGGGTGCATGTCCCATACACCCTCATGTTGTGCAGCATGGCCACCGCCTCGCCCTCCGGCGACTGGGCGTGGATGATGGACGCGCCAGGGGAGATGTAGGTCTGTGGGACAAGGTGGGTCAAGAAGGGCTGCCTACCCATCCCCGCCTAGAGGATGGCCACGTGGGGAGACTCTGAAACGCCCTTCTCTGGGGGGTCTGACACGACTCTGAAACGCCCTTCTCTGGGGGGTCTTAGCGCTGGGCTTCCTCCTTCCCTGAGGATCCCCACGCTCCCAGAATGCATCTACAAGGGACGCTCGGGGACATAAGGAACAAAAGCTGCGAAGAAAGGCCTGCCAGAAGCTCTGCCCTTTGGGGGTCGGTGCCAGACAAGGGGAACCAGCCCAAAACAAAGCACTTACCAGAAAAATCTCAATGGTCCCCAAAATGTACATGGCCCCTGCGAAGGTCGTACCCAGATAGAAGCAGAGGCCTACGGCCCCCCCAAACTCCGGCCCCAGGGAACGTGATATCATGTAATAGGAGCCACCAGCTGCAAAAAAAAGCCAGACAGGAAATGGGGTTAAGGACACGTCGTGTACCGTGAATGTGGACTTCACAGAACAGACAGCGGCTCTGGCAGTTGTGACCAAACAGGTCCTGGGGAAAACAGCTACACGCAGGGGGCAGATCCCGTAAGTCCGTACATTTTGATGTAAAACCAATACTTTCATCCTCTTAAGTTCTGCCCCAAAAGGCCTGAGAATCCAGGGCCGCTTAAGCCTCACTTCTGCATTACCCCCAGCACTCAGCTGACACCCATGCCCCACAGATCGGTCCCTGGCCATTCCGTTGGACAGTGAGTCCACCCTCAGTCACGACCAGGAGACCATGGGTGACTCTGGAGAGCCTGAAGGACTCCTGAGGGCATGCCCTTCTCTCTCAACAGCAAACCTAAAAGCCAATCTGCCACTGGAATCCTCTCTCCATGAGAGCGGATCACACCTCCTCCTCAGCACTGAGTGTCGGGGCCACCTCCCAGCTGGACGTCAAGCGAAGGGAGACTGGTCTGCATGCCCAGCCGGTAGCCCATGGGGGCTCACACTCCATGGCTGGGGAGGACGGCCAGCAGGAGGGTGGCCAGCGGGATGACGGCCTCTCCACGGCTGCTACATCTTGTGAGGCCTGAGTTCTGGGAGAGGGGCTGCTATTCAAGGACTCGGGGTGCAAAACATGCTGGACTTCCCTTATACACACGGGCTGCACAAGCTGCAGGGTATGAGGGGGCATCGTTTCAGTTCCTGAATCCAGGTGCCAAGTACACTAGAGGCCTCTGTGCCTGCACCTTTGCTCCTGAGACCACACAGTCTCAGGCCCCAACAACCTCAGGCACAAACTGGGCGCAGCACGAGCCCACCTGCCTACCCACCTTCCTTTCTCTGCTGAGCTCACTGCCCTGTAGGCACTGCCTCCAAGGGATGGGAGCTTCACTGCCAAATGGGGGAAAACAGCCAGCCATGATTTCAGGGCTCAAACACCAGTGAACCCTGCAGACCAGAGCCCCGCCCTCCCGCCCGCAGCCCCCATCACCCAGGCAGCCTCTCCCTTGTTCCAACCCCTTGGTCAGACAGCGTCAGAGGCAATAAATAAAGCCTGTGGCACTTCAGTTTTGTTGGTTTAGAAAGAGAGTGATGGCTTGTGGGGATTAAACTTCAAAATCAAAGGGATACAGCCAGTCATAAAATGCCAGCTTCTTGTCCAGACACCAAAGGCATGTTTGACAATAAAAAATCTTGGGGGTGTTGATGGTTCCCGTTCTGAGGAGCATCCCAATTGCACAGCAGCCTCTGAGCACTCTGGAAGGCACTGAGGGACCTGCCTGTAACAGGCCCCTAGTCTTAGCAAAGCCCATGCCCCCAGGGGAGACAGGGGAAGAGGCCCCGGAACACCAGGGGCACGAGCACTCAAGAGTCCTCCTCGTGAATGTGAGAGGCAGCAGCTGTGTGAGCATCACTGCCCAAAGGCAAGGTCACGGCCGACAGAAAAGGCCTGGCCAGGCTGAGGACGTGCCTCTCCCACCTACACGATGACCCCTCTAGGCATGGAGATCTCTGTGCTCAGACATGAACGACTGGCAGCAACCTCCAGGTGGTAAGGACATGTCCACACTAGGCCTTCTGGGACCGGGCCCCACTTCCTGCCTCATCTTCTGCCTTGGGTGAAGGGCTAATGTCAAGGTCACTGCCAAAATGAAAGTGGAGCATGCACAGAGCCCAGGCAGGGCTCTGCTCAGTTCCTACTCACAAAAGGTAGGCTTCATTTCAGACAACCCAGCCCCCAGCACCCCTCACCTGGGACCACGCCATTGGTGGCAATCGCACTCATGGAGATGGCCGTCAGCATCGTCTGCAAAAAGACAGGGGACCCTTTTAGAAGAGCGCTTCCGAGGGCCACCCAGCGATGAGAGCCTAGCAGCAGGCCGGGGCCAGAGCCCAGCAGGCCCAGCTGCCTGCTCCCAGCGTGATCACAAAAGGGCTGCTGAGGAACCAGCAGACAGAGCTTCCGACAGGACTGCAGCCCCAACCCCACGTTCGCTCCCACTGAGCTCCCCAAACTGAGCTCCCACAGGTTGCCCAGAAAATACCTGGCTCAGGACCCCGTCCAGCTCTGAAGGGCCAGATCCTACCTGGGTGCCCACCCACCATGGGGTAGAAGGTGCCCACCTGCTCAGGAAGCAGCAACACCCATGGGTTGGGGGAGTAACTATTTTAGAACCTAAGGACCATAGGAACAGCCTAGAAAGCGAAGGTTCTGGTGAGCACTGTGCCCAGGTTCCTGCTGGGCCATGTCTGCCACCTGAGCAAGGCCCCACCCCACTATCCTGCTTGCATCCTTTTCTGTGTGTGCCTGGCACTACTCCAGACACTTTACGACTCTTAAACATAAAAAACATATTGTGTCCCAGGAAGAATGCAGTGAGGCTCTTTAGGTCAGCGGTCCGCAGACCACTGGTTGTCTGTGAGGTCCGAAAGGTTGGCAGCCGCAGGGTTAGGTGACCACACCACAGCTCTGGGAAGCCCGGGGCAGCAGGGAAAGTGGCCTGAGAGGGGCCCTCGGACACCCACTCATCTGCATGGTTTGAATTCTTTGGAGAGCTGTCTCCAGGTGACACAGGGTAACACAACAGCTTAATCACCCTCCTAACAATCAAGGAAGCAGGGAAACTGAGGGCCGGGAGGAGGCACTGAGGAGCGTCCCGAGGTTAACGCAGAAGAGACTGTGTCCCTAGCAGACAGGCACACAGGTGCGGAGGCCAAGTGGCAGGTCTCACATGCTGGGGTCAGGGCTCAGCAAGTTGCCAAGCATGTGTCCCGTCCTATAAACGGGGCCCTGAACATGGGCAGATAGTCCAACTGGAAGGGGACCAGGTCAAGGTGCAGGACTCCTGTGCGTGGTGACAGGGCCTGGTGAAAACCCTCGGTTGCCCCTGTATTTCTGCAGGTGCAACTAAGGAAGGCTCCCTGGGCTGTGGGACAGCCTGGTCACAGCTCCCAGGCCACACCCAGTGCTCACACCGGCACTGGTGAGGCCCTGGGACAGAATCCAATGGTCAACCTCAGAGAGAGAGCAGTGGACCGGGGAGAGCCCACATTCGTCCACGTGGCCAGGTCCCTGGAGCCCAGCTGCCACAGCCCCAAACCAGAAACAGCCTCGGCACTCACGCAGGTGCAGCACATGAACACGATGAGGAAGGACTCCAGGACGCCGGCCACGCCCACGATCCACGTCAGGCGCAGGAAGAGGATCACGCCGAGGATGTTCTGCAGGCAGGGCAGGTAGACTCCGATGAAGGTGCCCATGCCTGGGTTCTGGGAGAGAGAGAGAACAGCGGTTCCGGGGAGGCCAACCTCAGTGCCTTCCTTGGGGACCCCTTCCCTGGGAGCTCTGGCTGCACCCTCAAGCCCCAGACGGAGGTCCCAGGAACAGGAGGACAAGGAAAGGGACCGGCGAGGGCGAAAAGCTTCAACTGCCTGGACCTGGGGAAATGGTTAAAGGGAACCACACCCCAGAATGAATGGAAGCTCCAGGAGACTCCAGAGCAGGTACCTGGCTGCCTGGGAGCAGGCTGGTCTTCAGAGAGAGACCAGAGCCACATCATCGCCAGGGAGCAGAGCAGGGACAGCCGGCTGGGCCTCCCTCCGCTGCGAGGGGAATGGCAGGATGGTGGGAAAGTTTGGGGAAAGATGGGAGCAAAAGACTCCAGGCTCTGTGTATTATGACTGCAGCTCTGGGTTCCAGACCCTCAGGAGACCACAATATGAGGAGAAGTGAGGGCCATGAAAGATGGATAAAACCATCATGCTCCCTAAAACCACAGAAGGTACAAGGACCCCAACTCCAGGCAGATATCACCAATTACTCAACCCACATGGAGGAAGAGATCGGGGGCACCATCGAGAGTTCAGAGGACTGGCTGCCTGGGCACACTTCTTCCCCACGTCCACAACTGCAGACACAAAAACAGGGCTGGGGTGCTGCTGGACACAGGTAACTGCGGGATGGACAGTGCTGGGAGGGGCCTGGCGGAAATGCCTGCTCTGATCCGGGAAAGACTATGTGATATGCAGACCGGCCCAGAGAACAGGGTGGCGACGACATTGCCAGGAGCCTGTGGCCAGTCCTACACCCACCACAGAGGACAGATAAGGCCCTCCCGGTCTGTGACCTGGGTCACAGCCAGTGCAACCACACAGTCAGGCAGCACACTTGGGATTTCGGGACATGTGGGTGCAAAGACAAGATGCTGTTTCGTGGAGAAAATATCCTGAATTTTAAAAAAGACACACAAAAGACCTGATAAGCTTTCCTGTGAATGACAAGGCCGGTGGAAAACAAGGACACAGCCCAGCTCATGTGGCAGCTCAGAGAGGGGCTGCCGCCCCAGGACACAGCCCAGCCCCAGGGAGGTGGCTGGAGGGTAAGTGCCCAAGGAGAGGGGGCTGAGCCCCCATTAAAGAAAGCAGATGGGCTCTTCGGGTGGAAATGGAGCTGCTGACAGACAGGGACACCTGCCACTAAGTGCAGGCAGCCCACAGAGCTCCCAGATGCTAGGCCCCTGGGGAGGATGAGCTGAGAGCAGCCGTCCTGGGGAGCAGGAGTCAGACTCATCCTGCGTCCTCACTTAGGCAGCTCCTTTAACATCTGGCCTGAGCTCCAGCGCACCCCTCCCAAGCCGCCCACCCACGGGGTAACGGTGCTTTTTGTGAAAATAAAAGGATTTATGCGTCTTACACACAGAGTGGGAGTATTTCAATTGTACAAAAATGAGAGTGGAAATGTAGTGACAACCATCGTGGACAAACTGCCGGCTCCTATTTTACAATCTCAGTGAGCATATGAAGAGATCAATAAACCACCACAGGAGGCTGAGCAAACCCTGCAGGCAGAGCAACTGGGCCTCCCGTGGGCCCCGCCCGCCAGAGCCAGCTCTGTGCCCGGCGGCTGACATGGTCCTGAGTCACCCTGGAAGGGCACAGCGGCCTTCAGTTCCCTCATAAAAGGCAGCTTTGAAGGATCACCCAGCCGGCTCCGAGGCCCCGGAGAGGAAGCCTTGGGGGACACACGCCCATCTCTGGGAACAAGCTCCTGTGTCAGGTTGGTCAGAGGGACAATGAGGGGCAGTCCCCGGGGACCTACACTCAGTCCTAAGCAGGGCAACGAGATTCATCCTAACTGAGACCTGCCCACCTGGCTACACAGTCCTGCGGAGGTCACGGGGTGACCGTCCCTCCTGCGACTGAAACCAAATCCTGTTCTAGATCCCAGCCTGGCAGGAGGCGCAAACCACGGACTTGTTCAGATTCACTAGGCTAACCGCTGAGATCACATCTCTACCAAACCTTCACCAAGGGGGTGGCTGCATTTCTGTCTGTGGCAGGAGGACACCTGCGACCCCAAGGCTGCACCATGCGGTCTGAAAGTAGCTGCAGCACAGGCAGAGGCCCAGGTGGTGCCACACGCTGAGGCTGGGGGTTACAGCAACATCAGACCCAGGTCTACGCGGAAAGCGTGCTTCCCCGAGCAGATGGACAGCTCCCTGAATCACCAGGGCCATCAGACAGAGGGACAGACATGTGCGTGTGCTCAGACAGCTGGGCTCCTGCAGTGAAGCCACAGGCAGTGCCCAGAGCATTCATCCGAAGCTACAACCTTCCATATAGCATCACCTGGGGTCAGTGTCCCCTGTCCCTTGCCTTGGGGGAGGGGGATAGCTCCATGAACAGCCAAGATGGCCACAGGCTCCCAAGGAGCCAGGAAAATCATGGCAGGGGGACCAGGAGAGGTGCACCCAGACACACCTCTGCTGCAGAGGCCACTTGCCCTGTGCCCACAAAGGTCAACATGGCTGGACACAGAGGCCATGTCTCATGTCCCACGTCCCCCATCTACTGCTTCCATCCTGAATGAGCAGCTCCTCTGGAACACAAGGAGCCAATGCCTGAGTGTCAGGAAGCCGTGTTAATCCTGCTGGGTTTACAGCCTGAGGGCGGAGAGAAGAGGCCTTGGCTTGGAGCCCAAGGGGACCAAGGTCGGGCCAGACACAGGCACAGAGAGGCACTTGGAGGGGGAGGAGCGAGGCCGTGTGGACACTGGCTTCCGGCACCTCCGCCCCAGCTCTGGCCCAATGGGCAGGTGGACACTGGGGTGGGGAACAGATGGGCAGAAAGGCAGCCGTCGAGCCCCCTCCCACTCTGTCCCAGCTCAGCGCTGTGGGGTCACCCAGCCGTCCCACCCAGCTGGCAGAACACTGCAGGAAGTGCCAGGCAGCCTTCTGTCCGGCTCAACAGGCCACAGCCCATTCACAAGCCCCTCCCTTCAGGACTCGGCGTCCTTCCCCTGGTGTTCTCAGAGCCAATGGGGGTGGGGGGTGGGAAGAATCACCACTTAAAACAGAGAAAAGCCAATTTCCACCCTTTGCGAGCCATCTGCAGAAAAAGTAAACAGAAGAGAACTATTGCCACGACCTGGGAAACAGCCTTCCTGTCAGTGTCAGAGGCAGGAAGAGAGGTGGCACGTCAGGGCCTCTGGAAGCTGCAGCCTGTACTGTAGGCATGCCTCTGGTGGTTACATATTTTTAAGTTCGAATCGTTGATTTTAAAGTAATACATACTTATTGCAAGAGAATTTAAAAAGTAAAGGGAAGTGAGAAGAAACAAATCATCACTTGTCATTCTCCCATAGAAAAGACCCTCAATTGTGGCTTCATTGTGAAAACTACGTTTGGCCGAAACAGGTTTGGCTCAGTGGATAGAGCGTCAGCCTATAGACTGAAAGGTCCCAGGTTCTATTCCGGTCAGGGCATGTACTTTGGTTGTGGGCACATCCCCAGTGTGAGGTGTGCAGGAAGCAGCTGATCGATGTTTCTCTCTCATGGATGTTTTTAACTCTCTATATCTCTCCCTTCCTCTCTTGTAAAAAAAATCAATATATATTTTAAAAAAAAAGAAAAAAAAAAAAAAAAAGAAAAGAAAACTGTGTTTGGCTCTTCTGTCCTGGAGCCCCCAAGGGGTGCCTGCATGGTTCCCAAGTGGATCTTGCACATTCTCCCCAAGAACCTCTTCTGCACAAATTCTCATGGCAGCAGATCTGCTTATTTTTTAGAATAGATTCCTAGAAATATTCCCTAAGAAATAAAATTCCTAGCCAATTGTCCCATCATTGGAAAACCAAGGGAAGGAGAGGAGGCCCTGAGGGGTCCTGGGAGGTCCAGGGGGACACAGGGGGCTGGTACCTTGACCTCTCGCCTTCGGCTCTCCTCGGCCTCCTCGTGCTCCACCACGCCCTGGCTCAGGTTGGTGTAGTTGGCCAGCTTGTTGAGGAGTGAGGACACCATGGGGTTACTGTCCATTTCCTCCTGTTTGGAACCAAGATATGAAATAAGTCACCCAGATCCCAAAATAAAACACTCCCAAACTGACCAGGTCAACCCCCCAGCAGGGATCCTGCTGTGTGGAGACTCCAGGAAGCCTATTCCCAGCACCATCTGGAGCCCAGCTCGGCCCCTGGTCTTGAAGCCCACAAATCTAAAATGCGCCAGCCAGCCCCGGTGACCACAGGTCTGAAGTCAGGGGTCAGGGGCGAGAGGTCAGACTCCAAGACATATTGAGCAGGACCACCCACTCAGCGAGGGAGATCAGGGTTTCCAAGATGGCCCAGGAGTCAGCCTCTCTAAGCCCCTCATGGGGATGTGTCAGCCAAGGGGGCATATGGTGTAAGGGCTGTGGGACAGGGGCAGCCACTAGCTCCCCCCCACACAGTGTCCAGTCAGGCGGTCCAGCCCCTCAGTCCACTCTCAAACACGAGGTCACGAGACCATGGCCTCTTTACTTACTCAAGACACAGCTACTACACTGACCCCTGCTTCTTGCAGGAGAAAGTGCAACTTACCTCAAAAAGCGCCATGTTCTTTCCTTCAAAGAAGCTCTCCCGCTCCATGTCGCCATTGTTAATGATGGGGCTGCTCTCTCTCGACTGTCCATCTCCTGCTGGGAAACAGCTCGGGTCAGTTTCAGGAGCTGATAGGAGGTGGAGGCCACAGGGAACCAGGGGAGCGGCAGGCCAGGGGCTGGGGGGCAGGGTTCCAGAGATGATGGGAACCCACAGCTGAGATGAGCCAAACACAGGGCACTGTGGACAGAGCGGGCACTGATGAGAGCCACGTGTGGCCAGTCTTCCTTCTCTGGGAACACAGACATGCAGGTGACCAGCCAACACCACACTCTGCCGGAGATCCCCACCCAGCGAGCCTACGAGGGTCCCAGCCCCCTGCTCTGGCTGCCGAGAAGCGAGGAGCCAGGACGGGACAGTGACCGCTGCACCAGAGTGCTGCCAAGCCAGGCATCCTGGGTCTCCCTCAGCGGGATCCTCAGCGGCCCAGGGCAGGACAGGGACACCATCCACCATGGAGGTGCGACAGGCCAGAGCCTGGGTGACCCTCAGCCAGTACAACACAGCGAACCATGGAGCCACTCAGCAGCCAGGGAAAATCCTTGGCAAACAGAAGGGAGCAAGGGTCCCCTTCCTGCCAACCAGAAACCCAGGCAGGAAAGGCAGCGCAGGTGAATCAGATTCCTGTGTTACACACACACACACACACACACACACACACACACACACACACACACATATACACACACACAGACACACAGTGGTCCCCACGTGGGGAATTCACATCTACCCGGGCAGCCGCTGACCCAATATTCAGTGAAACATGAGCTGGATGCCTCGGGGGCTCAGGCTCAGTTACAGGACCCCCTACAGCAGGGCTCCTCCATCACCCAGACAACAGCCTGACCTTGAGGGAGCAGTCCATGTGCCCAGCAGGAGATGTACCTCCGGGGCTTAAGGCCCCAGGCCGTGGGCCAGGATGACATTGTCCAGTCTGCCGAGAGGACAGAGTGGTCAGCAAGCTGAGCACACAGGCTGGCGGGAAGGCATCCTGGTGCAAGATAAGCCCAGAGAGTCTGACAGAGTGCCCCCATACCCTCTGCCCAGGGGGGTGGCCTCTCTGCCCGGAAGCCAAAAACACTGCTTGTTGCTTCAGAAGAAAACAGAAAGGGGTCAGGATGAGAAAACCTCACCTACAGTGAGGGGCAAGGGAAGCCAAGGTCATGGCCACACTGCCTGGGCCCCTTACCCCCCACAAAGGCTGGAACCCCCTCCCAGGGCCTGGACGCAGCAGAGCTCCCAGGCCCTCAGCCAGCCAGGGAGGGACGGCAACCGCCTCTCACCTACTTCCCTGGGACAACGGGCAGCTTGAGAACCAACACACGAAGCCTGTCCACCTCAGAGGAGAGAGGCCAGAGAAAGCGATGCCAGTCCGGCCCCACACCACCGTGCACCCTGGGCAAGAGGACAGGCCGCGGGAGGCAGAGCCTGGCCTGGGGTGCCGCTGCCGGGAAGGGAGGGGACTCACAGCAGGCACTGGCTTCTGGCAGGCACCACTTCCACGCCCCTCCCTACCATTAACGGACGCTTTCAGACCAAACATACAGCTCCTTCTATAAGGATAAACTGGCTCAACAACCCAATGGTCCATTAGAGGGAGTTTAGTGTGTAAATATGGCTCACTACGCAATAAAACTGCACTTATTTTTTAAAATGTGGGGCTGCATGTGTGACGAATGCCCGTGTATCTGACGAAGAGAGGGTAAGAACTGCAGCCTCTGAAAGGGCAGCATGGGGTGGAGTGGGGCTCATGGCAAGGCTGGGGGATTGCGGACAGTAACGTCTTTGTGTTGTTGTGACCTTTTAAAGGCCCCTATTGGGGAGGGGGTGCTCACTCAGCCTTCTGATCAGAAACTTCAAGTCCCTATCCAACCCTTTTGGGTCCCACAGACTCTGTGCTTCACCCGAACTCCTGGGGATGAATATCTGAAATAAAACTCCTGGCCACGGGGCCTGTAAGTTCCAGACACATGAAAACGCTCGTGTAGACAACGGCCACAAGGAGACAGCTGGCGAGTTGTTTTGACGGCACTCCAAATCCTGACGAATCACCTACAGTCCCCCGGCTGTTCAGGGCAGATCCTGCCATGGGTGTCACAGAACCGAAACACAGGACACAGCCCACAGGTGGCCATCTCGAACCCCTGCCTCCATGGCTAGTCTACCAGGACAGCCTGACCCAGGTCCCCAGCTCACCGCAGCCAGGGCACAGCCACCAGAGAGTCACCATCAGCACGTTTCTGGGGATACCAATTTTACTTTTCTAGTGATAAGGATTGATGGCTGACAGCAGACGTCCTGACTGTTTCTGGAGTGAACACTGCAAAGGGCTGTCTAGTCCAGCCTCTGTCTAAAGCAGTGGTGGGGAACGTCCGGCCCGCACAATCACGTGGTCTGGCCCCGCCATGGCCCTGCCAAGGCATTAGGGATGAGGTAATTAAATGGGCAAATTATAACAGCTAAAAGGACCTAAATAGACACTTTTCAAAAGAAGACATAAAGAAGGCCAAGAGATGTAAGAAAACATGCTCAAAGTCACCAATCATCTGAGAGATGCAAATCAAAACAACAATGCGGTACCATCTCATACCTGTCAGAATGGCTATCATCAACAAATCAACAAACTGACAAGTGCTGAGGAGGATGCGGAGAAAAAGGAACCCTCGTGAACTGCTGGTTGGAATGCAGACCGCTGCAGCCACTGTGGAGAACAGTATGACGTTTCCTCAAAAAATTAAAAATGGAATTCCCATTTGACCCAGTGATCCCACTTCTAGGACTATATCCCAAGAAAACAGAAACACCAATCAGAAAGGATATATGCACCGCTATGTTCATAGCAGCACAATTTACCATAACTAAGACCTGGAAACAGCCTAAGTGCCCATCAGCAGATAAGTGGGTTAGAAAACTGTGCTACATCTACACAATGGAACACTATGCTACGGTAAAAAGGAAAGAACTCTTACCATTTGCAACAGCATGGATGGAACTGGAGAGCATTATGCTAAGCGAAATAAGCCAGTCAGAGAAAGAAAATTATCACATGATCTCACTCATTTGTGGAATATAATGAACAACATAAACTGATGATCAAAAATAGAACCAGAGTCATAGACGCATTTAACAGACTGTCCAACCTCTGAGGGAAGGGAGTGGGGGGGTGGGGGACGGCGTATAAGAGATCAACCAAAGGACTTGTATGCAGGCAAGTGAGCATAACCAATGGACACAGACGGGGGAGAGGGGGGACAGAAATGGAGTGGGGTGGGGGCGGTCGGGGAGGGGTCAATGGGGGAAAAGGGAGACTTAGGTAATATAATACTTTAAATAATAAAAAATTTAAATTAAAAAACAAATATAGGGAGTCCTTGGGTTACGTTGGACTCGACGTACGTTATTTCCTGGTTACGTCGTCATTATTTATATATTAAAAAAAAAAAGTTCAATGTATGTACATATGTGCTTTATGTTGTTTTTTGTTGCTGTTTTTTACCATAAGTAAAGGTCAGGAATTGTTATCTTTCTTTTAAAAATGTTTTTAACTGTTTCACTTCATTACTGCTGTGTATGTGCTCCATGTGAGTGATGTAGGTGCTTCTGTAGGTGGGTTCCAACTTACGGCAAAAAAAGCATTATGTCGTGCCACAGGACCTGATCTCCAACGTAACCCAAGGACCTACTGTACATACAGCAGGCTGATTTTTGAGTTGATAATTTTGTATGGCCCACAAATGATGTTATAAATAATATCCAAATGGCCCTTGGCAGAAAAAAGGTTCCTCACCCCTGCTCTAGAGAATACATGGGCCAGGCCCTGACATGGTTGCCCAGCACCCAAGGTTCCCCGGGGAAAAGAGAGAGAGGAGGAAGGGGGCGAGGAGAAGGAGAAGGGGATGCACCCGGTTTTAGGTCCTCCCTCTGATGAGCCAGCCTGGCCCCACAAAGTTGGGGCCTGGGTTCCGTGTTTCTTGTCCTTGGGGAAAGGCGGCCGACATGGAAAGGGCCTAGCAGCTCAGCTCAGGCGGGCAGCTCCCAGAGTGTCCCTAGGCGCCCAGGACACTCAGCTCACTGCCAGACACAGCCCCGTGCTGTGCTGGGAATGCACAGGCTGGTAGTCACAGCTCCTGGGACTTGTTTGCAAGTCAACACCGTCTATCTGGCCCCCCTACCAGCCGCACAGGTAGAATCCTGAGCACCCAGAAGCTCCGATCCGAGTACCTAACCTGAGACCCCGATGTCTTTCCCAGGCATCTGACGCTCACGGAGCAGGAGGCTCATAGACATGCTGTCAAACAGGCGCTAAAACACCCCGCCTGTTCGTGTGACAAGAAACACCTAAGGCATCCTGACAGAGGACTCGGAAACGAAATAGGAAAGAAGTGTCCTCAGGGCTCCCCGTGGGAGCAGAAGAGAAAGGACATCAGGCCCCACATATGCAAAATGGTCATCCGGTGACTCCTTTACACTGTGACGAAACCCACAGGGTGGGTAACCCACCCTGAACAAAGACCGGGGCAGGTCGGGGGCAGCCAGCGGCAGGAAGGACACGCCAGGTACACAGGCAGCCAGAGCACCAGGGGCCACAGGCCGGGGACGAGCTGCAGACCCAGTAGCTGCTTGCCCCCTTTTCGGGTTACCAAGAAATAAACAAAAGTAGCAGTAGGCGCCCTCAGTATTGGGGTGTATCCCTCCCATCTGGAGACGGCCTCCACATTTATGACCACCCGCACTTCCTCCCGCCACCCGAGGCATAAACCATAACCTCAGGCTGTCCTGTGAAGAGAATACATTTCCCCTCATTTCTGAGAAGTGCCCACTTCACCCTCAGGCGTGCCCGGCAGAATGGACGACCCACCAGGAGACAGGAGACGAGAAGCGTCTCTGCAGGGTGAACACCGAGCTGGAGTGTGACCCAAACCCACCAGGCCAGGAGACCAGGACAGAGGCCCTTGACAGTGTCCGCGGTCACATGGCCCTCTCTCCCTGCTGCCCGGCCCTCCCCGCCCCAGGCACAGAGCTTTGCAGTCCCCCC